AGTGTTACAGGGGTTTCATGGTATCTCATACTAAACAGTGTTACAGGGTTTCATGGTATCTCATACTTAACAGTGTTACAGGGTTTCATGGTATCTCATACTAAACAGTGTTACAGGGGTTCATCGTATCTCATACTAAACAGTGTTACAGGGTTTCAGGGTATCTCATACTAAACAGTGTTATGGGGGTTTCAGGGTATCTCATACTAAACAGTGTTATGGGGGTTTCAGGGTATCTCATACTAAACAGTGTTATGTGGGTTTCATGGTATCTCATACTAAACAGTGTTACAGGGTTTCAGGGTATCCATACTAAACAGTGTTACAGGGGTTTCAGGGTATCTCATACTAAACAGTGTTATGGGGGTTTCAGGGTATCCCATACAAACATTGTTACGAGAGTTTCAGGATATCTCGGCACCTCTGACAAGCAGGGTTAACATTTGACACTTGTCTGGTAGATTTCAGCAACATTTCCTATCACTTAACCATAACCCTATTGTGATCTAGTTTTACATACATGGTCCCTATATATTCATTACTTTTTCTTTTCTATTCCATGCTGACGACCTTCAGAAAGTACTAATTCTATTACCTTGGTAACATTACCGTACAACAGCATGTAGGACAAGCAAATGATATATCCAAACAGTCCTAAGTGGATTATCAAGCACATCAAGAAGACTGAAAGGTAAGCATGTACCTGACTATACCCCCACCCCGGAATGGTCTATTTTTGGTAACCTTGACCTGATCAGATTTGAAAAAAAATGGGTCTGGAGATAAGGATCATAACCCCACAGTCTATTTTTAGTAACAGTGAACTTGACCTTAGACATTTTTTATTAATTCCCTAGTCCACATCTACATATACCGGTATATCATAGTGTTTCACTATCACCATGTCCAATTTCAAAAATATTCTGACTTCTGGATTCCCAGATAAGGACCTTGTTCTCCCCCAAGTCTATTTTTAGTAAGTGACCTTGACCGTAGAATTATTTCAAACCTTTCTACTACACATCTACATTTCACAATGCATCACCATGCCAAATGTCAGGAAGTTTAGTCTTTAAGATTCCGAGATAATCTCCAGAAACGAAAGACACACCTGTATATCATTGCATACTGGGTAAATTTTAGGGGTTTCCTAGTCCGAATTATTCTGACGTTTTATCGACTTTTTTCAAATCGGTCTGTCGTCGATTAATGTCAGAAGTCCGGGCCTCTATAATATGCGGGAAATATGCGACCCCCACACGGAGCGCACTTCAAACTGATATTTTAGAAACAGATCGTCACTTTCACCCACATGTCGCACATGGATCGAAATATCTATTCTTTACGCACTAGGTTGTATCAATAACATGTTTCAAAGATCATTACGAACAGTATTTTTCAATGTTTTCTATACCAACCCATGTTTTTAATGGAAATTAGGCCATGAGCAATGTCACATGACTTGACGAGATCTCGCGTTAACGAAGGTATTTCCCAGCGTTATGACGTAGGCCGGCAAGATTTTAGTCACGTGGCATTAGAAGGCGGGCTATCAAAAAACTAGAGTAAAACAGAGTAAGTTTGAAAAAATATGTTTTTAGTGATTGTATTGGTTGTTTGAGGCATGTTATGTATGTTCATCTTGTGCATAAAGAATAGATCTTTCGATCCATGTGCGACATGTGTGTGAAAGTGACAATTTGTTTCTAAAATATCAGTTTGAAGTGTGCTCTGGGCGCGGGTCGCATATTTCCCGCATATTATAGAGGGCTGGAGTTCTGACGTTAATCGACGACAGACCGATATGAAAAAAGTCGATAAAACGTCAGAATAATTCGGACTAGGGGTTTCCATGCATCTCTGCACCTTCAAACAAGTATCCGGTATATACCTGTGTATTTTTGCAGTCTAGGTAAAGTGTTAGGGACTTTAAGGTATCACTGCATCTGAAACAAGTATGCAGCACCTGGTGTAAACTAGTATTTGCATACTCAGTATAGCTATATAGTGTAGGCGTGGGGGGTTTACGGTGTCTCAGCATGCACACATTTAACATGTTAATGACCACACTAGAGCTTTACAAGTGCCCTCGGCTAGATCCGAGTGTTCTGGGTGTGAGCTGGAGCTATAGATTGATCTTCTTTATCAATAACACCTACATTACTGCCAGAAAAGACTAGCGAAGGTATATCCTCAAACCACTATATTTACCTGTAATACCTGTAAGGTTTTATAGGACCAACATGTACATAGAAAATTCTCACCCAAGTCTCAGTCCTCGTGTTATACCGCAACTCTTTCAATAACAACCCTGACATTTATAGGGTCTGAGGTTTCTGCTCTCGACACACATTGTATCTGCACCTTTGAATATGTCATAATTAAACAAAAATGAAGACAAAGCAATCCCCAAAGGACGTATCAGCCAAACAATGGGTCAGGTTGGACTTTATCAAGGCATTTTGAAAGGGTGTAGAGATGAAAGGTGTATCAAGGGCGGAACTCTTTGTTTTTGAATATAATATAATCTAGGCCAAATTCTTTACTATTTACAGTGAAATTGGTCATGGAGAAAACAATCCCCCTTCTAAAATCATCCTCTGTCTGCTCGTTCCAATTTACCTACTCAAACTTGACCACTGAAATATGAAAAATGCATCTGTAAGTAGGATTCACCTTGAATGAATGTTTAAATATGGTACCAAAAAAACTGCCTACTATCTTTGACTGACATGGAGGAAACATCAACCAATGACAGTATGATCTTGGAATTTATAGAAACTCTATTTATAACAATTTTAATGGTTATGACTCCATGAAATACATCATCTCTGATAAAAACCATGAATGCACATGAACAACTTATATCAAACTTTGGTCCATTACTTGACACTTCAGAACACTACGGAGAGATGTGATATATTACACTCTGATCAGATGGTAATTATGTGTGCACTTGAACATGAAGTCTGATCAATTGTGATAACATGACTAGCTCTTAAATGAGAAGATATTGAAGTCAACTTGAGGTGCTGCACGACCCCCGCATCGACAAGGCGAGATAGCATGACAGAAGTACATGCAGCACTGTACATTAATTGATAAATGTCCCAAAATGAAAGGATCCTTATATATTCTCTTATTTTGTAATGTTTCTATCATTCATAATGTATTGACCTCAAACATTTTCTAATCCACAGAACTGTGCTATAATTTGGAAGAATTCTATGAGCTATATTGTGAAATGACTGCCAGTAAGGCAAAAATAATATGCTTGTGTTTCCGCTGTCATCTGCAGAAATAATAGGGTAGGTAGGTAGGCAATTTTTCATATTTTGAAAAATATTTGTGTACTATGCCTATATAGAGCAGGTGTTCTGACTTAACAGTGCATATCAATAAATGCCTATAAAATCTTTAGGTTGGGCGCAAAAATCTTGGGCAGGTAGTGATAGGGTTTGCAGAAACACAAGATTTGTTTTATTTGGCCTAATTGAACTATTGATGGCAGGAGTCTTTAGAGCGAGCAGTGAGCAGTGATTTTTCTGCCTCCTTTCAAGACGGGTTTATGCCTTAGTTACTTTTGGAAAATATCTCATATAAAAAACATGATTCTGGGAATATAATAATAATATAATATAATGTTATGTAACAAGAATGACCTTGGGACCATGAAATATAAACTTATCCAAGGTATATTCATACATGACCTTTTCATAAATATCAATGAAAATCTGTTAAAATGAATTAAGTAGTCTGAAGTCATGATGATGAATCAAGACAGGATATATAGGATGCTATGCAACCAGAGGGACATAGGTAACACTACTATGCATTATCACATTCACCCATAAAATGGAAAATGGCAGGAACTTATAAATAAAAATCCATGCAGTTATTATATAAACAATTTTGTTTTCAAACTATCTTCTCTGCCAAAACTTATGCCTCCAAAAAATAAAGTTATATGGGATTTTGAAGGATGAAAAAACAAAAGAAACAGGCCATTTAACATCACATTTTTGTCTGACAAAGGACAAGCAATATAAAACAGAATGTATCATACAAGCTTGATTTTATTAGACTGCGTTTCTATAATAAATGGGGCACATTTGAATGATTTTCAAATATCTTCAAAATCAATTGAACAATTTCTAAAATGGATAAAAATCCTTATTTTAGGAACAGTGGAAATCCTTCAGGTGAATGTTATACATGTGGCAAGTGATGAACACACGGCTGTTTTTATAATTTTGGTACTCAATCATTCCCACTTATCAAACTTGTTCAGGCGACATGATAAATGTAAATAGTACAAAAGTCTGGGATCACAAGTAAGTAACATGGATTACCTTATTTAGCTACCCCTTCTGGGTTCTTTGTCTAGGGATTCTAAATTGACCACTGACCTTTAACCTATATAGCTGACAATGTATACAACTCTCTCTATTAGACAACAATTTTGAGTAAACAAACAACAGGTCGTATCTTATCTTGTAACATTACAGTATAGTATATATACAATATATGTGATAATAACTGATGGTATATATTATGTGACCTCATGTTCAGTTTAAACATGTTTAACCCTATGCCCCTGTTAATTGATCATCTTCCCATCCCCTATAATGGTGGCCTCTGGTCCCCATCCCTTACAATAGTGGTCAGCATATCAGTTAATGCTTCTGATTTACATTACAGAAAACAATTGTATCAGTACTGTAGTAAATTGTCCTCATTTCAACCTAATTCACAGGATTAAATCCTGTTCAATAAACACAAAATTAACATCAGAGTAAACAATATTTTTATCATTCTTTACAAGTATATATAAATATACACTCCCCAAGATGTTTGTTTATCAAATGAACATTCTAATTTAATGAATTGATTAATGTTTTTAGATTAAATCACACCTTTTTTCTTCCCACACATAACTAAATGTAGATCTATAGATATACCAGTAAACCATCTTAATTATACATTTTATATTAACCTACCTTTTTCAATTAATCTGTTGCACCATTTCTCCACTAGCTACATCTAGCTAACGTGCCACTAAGCCTGTTACATATAGGATGATGTGAGGTAATGCCACATTGAAAATGAATTCCTTGAGTATGTTACAACAGCAGATCTCTAGATCGCGCTCCAGTCAACAATACAAGGTACCTTGCATCTGATGTAGCTGAAGACTGACTACACACTTCAGCAAAGTCCTACCTATAACCACATGCCTTATAACAAAAGGAAGGGTATCCATTGTACTTTTTGTTGATGTTAGAGGTGAAATCTCAGGTGATAAATACAGGTATGACATAATGTTAGCTACACACAACACCTGGGGGCATACCTAAATCTACCTGTCTTTGTCCCCTGACATGTGTACAGCAACCCTTCCAGGTACCAGCCTGGATATTAATATTGTACAGGTACAGATTGTAAACCTATTCGGAATTAACAAGATAAGAATCTTGACAGTAGAAGAATGAAACTGCCATTACATTTCAATAGATTCTCCATTTCAGCTGTAAATGACTTGAGCCATTTGGTGAATTGCAGGTATTTACAGGCACTTAAATACATATTATAAACACATTTGTAAATCAAAATATGCAGGGATTATAAAATTACTTGTGAATATTTTAGGAGTTCTGTGGTTGAAAAAAATGTAATAGCATTAAATAATAAGATTGATATAGATAGTTTGTTAGTGATGAGGGTTCAGGGAATATCAGATATATAACTCTATAATACTGTGAACATCTCTCCCTGTCTTCCACATACATAGATAATATTCCCTCTTTTTTGTGACCGTTCATCCATACTGTAATGAATCTATAGGAGTTATAAGGATATTTTGAGATTAAAAGATATTGAGTTATATAATGAAGGCTACTTATGCTAATTTTTAGCTCACAAAGGACAATGAATTTTATCTGGGAAATCAACAGCTGAACCACTAACATTTTCTAACATAACAATGTTGGGGAAAGAAGTTCTCTCCTTTTGTCATTTTCAATGCCAATATTTTGTTGAAGAATGAAAAATGCAATTAAAATATTTTTTAGAGTAAATCTGTATAAGATAATACATCATATTTACGTAATAATTTGGTTTCCTGTCAAATAAAGTATCTACCTGGATCCCTGCTAACATTCACTTACTTCCAAATGAACTTTATAGCTTGATCAATTTTTGAATGTCAAACTACTTATTCATTTTAAATACAACCACCAAACAGAATTTAAGTGAGTGCATGGATTTCCTTCCTTGGTTTCACAAGACTGTTTTCAAAATAACAAGCCTGCATCCATATTAAGACAGAAAAAAACATAATCTACCAAATAAGAATCAGTCTTTAAAATTTCTATTAATTTAAGGAAATTTCATATTCTAATATTTCATTTACTATACATGTTCAGTCAAACCTCTAAAAAACTTTTTTAAAGAAAATTATCAGGGTGGCCGGGGGTTCCTGAAGCCAAAAAAACCCAGCTGGATCCGCCACTGTATCAGTAAGGCTCGTTCGTTATGAAAACAGTCGCAATTACAACTAATAAATCAAAGTCAAAAATGTTCCTGTACGAAATCAATGAAATGTCCCTCAGTCCCACAGTCATTTTAACACCTTCATGTTCATGTTTCGGTCTCCAGTGAAAAGTACTGGTGACCATGTTGACACAACCCGGTATTCATCATTTCAAGTTAATAAACTGACACTGATTAATTCAGTTTTGTTTCCTTAAAACAGCAGTGCGAAATATTTATGACGGAATAAATATGCTATAGTGTTGATGATTTTCTCAAAAACAAACGGCTGACGGGAATCAATCTCAGCAACATGGCGCGCATGATGGACCACATCAAAACGGGGTAGACTTCGAAAAATAATTGACAAAAAAAGAAATTTTGAATTTGATCAGATTCAGGGCTCCGGAAAACCACTCGTCTGCAAGTCCATGACGAGTGGAAATCATATTTGACAAGTGGTTTAGACCAACAACTTGTCTAGCAGACGAGTGCTTTTCCTAAACATCAAAGTTAAAATCCATTTATGTCTTTTTCTCTACGCTGTGTTTAAATTCTTTCTTAAATTGTTAAAAACTATCACGCTCAGCTTGTATGACATGCCGATACGGTTAGAGAGCCAAGGGTCGTGGGTGCGAGCCCCAGTGACAGCACTATCTTGATCACAATATTCCTCGTCCTACTACAAACTGGTGCCGTTGACACTCCTCGTTCATGGAAGGAGAACCCTTGGCTGGGAGTCAGAGAACCTGGGTTGGTGTTTGAAAAAAGGGGTGAATAGTGCAAAAGATGTGCACTGATTAGGTTGCCTTACAAGCGTTTTCTGTATGGAATTTCCCTTTAGCTCAACGTTAGACCATCAGGCTGGAAAGCCAATAAAGGGTTGCGGGTTTGAGACCCAGTGACAGCACTATTTGTATCTCTATTCCTGGCCCTACTACAATAGCACATGTGTAACTAGTCTGAATTATTTGTACGTTTTATCAACTTTTTTATATCGGTCTGTCGTCGATTAACGTCAGAACTCCAGCCCTCTTTAATATGCGGGAAATAAGCGACCCACGCCCTGGTCGCACTTCAAACTGATATTTTAGAAACAAATCGTCACTTTCACACACATGTCGCACATGGATCGAAAGATCTATTCTTTATGCACAAGATGAACATAAATTACATGCCTCAAACAACAAATACAATCACTAAAAACAATATTTTTCAAACTTACTCTGTTTTACTCTAGTTTTTTGATAGCCCGCCTTCTAATGCCACGTGACTAAAATCTCGCCGGCCTACGTCATAACGTTGGAAATTCGTTAACGCAAATCTCGTCAAGTCATGTGACATTGCTCATGTCCTAATTTCCATTAAAAACATGGGCTTGTATAGAAAATGTTGGAAAATACTGTTCGTAATGATCTTTGAAACATGTTATTGATACCACCTAGTGCATAAACAATAGATCTTTCGATCCATGTGCGACATGTGTGTGAAAGTGACGATTATAAGTTTGAAGCGCGACCCATTCCAGGTCGCTTATTTCCCGCATATTAAAGAGGGCCGGAGTTCTGAAGTTAATCGACGACAGACCAACATAAAAAAAGTTGATAAAACGTCAGAATAATTCGGACTAATGCATAACAAAGAACCATGTCACTGCAGAATAGGTGTTTCATGGAATGGTTGGGATATTTATGTTGTTTACAAAAATAATATTTGACCCAATTTGTTTCAATCATTTCAACTAAATTTGATCTTCTGAGGGCAAATCAATCCCCAGCCTAGCCAGTTTAAATATATAACTGTTTCCTTGGTTTTAAGGGCAAATATAGAAAATTTCTTATAATTGATTTTTGTGTAGAGAGGAGGGAATGTCGATTATACAGAATCAAATTCTACATTCAGTTACTATCAGTATCAATGAAAGTTTTCATTACACCACTTCGATCAAATAATAAATAAAAATGTTCACCTGTAAAACTGTGTCTACATTAGATTAGAAGACAGATCTATATTAATTTAATTGTAGCTCTAAGTTTTCATTGTGTTAGATCTAATGGGGCTAGGGCTATTTACAACAAACCTGACAGCACAGACAAGTTAAACTGTAAATTTCAAATACGGTGAGTGACAGATAGGCATATCGCTTCAAAACATGTAGAGCCACGCTGTATCGGGAACGGGCACCTGCTATCAATTAGGAATCAGTATTATTAATTTATCGCATCATCGAAAACTGGTTAACATTCACATGCTTATGTGAACAGAAATAAATCCCAATACTTACCTCAATCTATAACTGTCGCCATACCCAAGTGATCGTCATGCTTGTTTGTGTACTATACACTGCTACCATTTCCAAACGTTGTTTTGGTTCAATATGGACGACGGTTGGTCTACCCGATTTGTTACGCGCTCTCTGATTGGTCAGCTTTATATCGAAGAGTGTGGCGCTGCATTTGAAAACTTATTATCATTAAAGTGACTTAGCCGTAATATATATATTAAAAGTAATATCAAGAAACTGTTTACCCCAATACTTATCTTCTTTTGTTATTGTAAGGCTCCGATATTTATGTAAATTGTATGTTTCCTTCCACTGCTAGTTCCTTAGTTCAGCATTTAGTCTCTAACTGTTGATAATGACAATAAAGTTATAAATTACCCATGTTAGATCACTCAGCTATTTTCTATAAATATTGGTCGTTGGAAATTTAAGTATCCAGTGAGACGCAAAAGCTTGAATTGACTAGCCTCTCCCTTTAAAAATCCATATCGGACTTGAACAACATGTAATCCAAAACGAACTAGTAAGTATTTACGTATATTATAAATTCAAATTCAAACTTTATTTGCACATATATAACTTCAGTGTTGTTTGAACACATAGAAACATACTGAAATATATACAAGTCAATATTACATGGTTTTGTACTTTATAATCTGCTATCAATTAGTTTATACTGTCAGCAGGCCCACTCTCCTCATTTCTAAAAACTGTTTAATACAGAAAAGGAGTCTTGTATAAGCTACATGTTAAATACTGTCACAACTGGATGTTTGGATTTGCGCGTTTTTCCTTATATGAAGTCATGTTGTGTGACTTGAAATTATAGTATGGTGATTCTTAAATGAGAATACTTCTTGTATAATGCCGATTTGTCTTGTACTTTGGTTCAAAATACTAATTGGAAGGTATTTATAGTTTGCATAACTTAATTGACTGGTTTATCCTGAAACATAACTACTTTTACTAGAAGTCCTTATTTTTTTTAAATTGTCAGGTCATGACAGAATGAGTTTGAATCGAGATTTCGAGTGGAAATCGACATAATTTCCATTTGCGAATCACACTTACCGAAAACAAGGACGGATCCAGAATTTGTTCTGGGGTGTCGCTAACCTGTAAGGCCTGTTTCCAGATTTACAGTTTATTTTTCGACGCATGTGGTCTGAACCATCTCATGTTACTCAGCATTAAGGTATAGCCATAGCCTTCGCTATCATTGCTATGCCGACGACACACAAATATATACCTGCCTCGGCCTTGTACTTTCTCATGGATGTCTATCTAAATCATTCCTAAATTCTTTTTTGCTCGAGTGTAATGAATCATCAATATAATTATAATTTTGTTCATTTATTTTAATTTTCTAAGGGGAAAAAAATCCTAATTTGGTTTCTAATACTTACTACTTGATTACCTGTTTTTCTATCATGCAAGAAAAGAATATAGTACATGGTAGCATGAATGATGAACGCTCTCAATTATTGGATCAAATGCTTAATTATTTACATGTATGTATTTAATGTGCTAATGTTTCATATAACTTTCTCGCAAAGCTTCCTGACTTAAAAGCATCGACATGTGATGTTTATTGTCCTTCTTGCAAACGCATTAAATAAAATCTTAATTAATTGTAGCAGCTGTGGCTCCTACGCGTATACGGACCATTAACGTACTTACATGTATATACAATTCAATATATGGGGCAAAGAAGTAATTCCAACAGTGTGGAATCACTTCTTTGCCCCATACAATTCAATATATATACACGTCTGTATCATGGTTCGCTGACTTATTCAGTTGATGCTGGGTAGTGATACATGTTGTATCAATTAATGTCACCTGCATGTATTCCACTCCTGTTAGAGGGAGGGTGGGATGTGACTGGGGCGGTGTAACACAACTAGAATCACAACTAGTGTCAAGAAATACAAATATTCAATTTGGACAAGTCTAATATAAGATTAGAATAACCTAAAGCATAAAATATTGATGTGCACTTTAAGGTTACAGTGCGCACACCAAACGGAGCTTCGGGGATGTCACACAAAATATGCAGATATACTATTTATTTATTTATCTTACAAACCAAGGGCAGGGGGTGTCACGTGCGCTGGTGACTGGAAAAGACCGAAATTCGGACACGGGACCTCCTAACCACAGGAAGATTTTCTGACCAATTGAACTATTAGGTCATCGGTACCCGGCACAGCCCCGCTACAGGTGCATGTAAACTTGTTTAGTAAATAAGAACCCAAAAGGTCAGAGATGGAAACTTCGGGATATCAAAGAGATATTTTGCTGGTTGACTTATATGCAGTGATACACAGGAATTATACTTTAATTAAGATAAATAAACAGAAAACAATATGGTCGAACTGGTGATTATACACAATTTCGTCCAAAAAAATAAATACTCCTCCCAGAGAAGAATGCGAAAAGGAACACGTAAAACAGGCAACAGAACCAGAGAACAGTAAACGAAAGAATGACAAATTGACCGATAATATAGATATCATCCACAACATTTTACCACGGAATCAACCTGCTGTAATACCACGGAATTAGATTATCTAAGTCCGTGGTAATACTTATGAATAATGTATATATTGAACCGGATTAATTTATATATTAGGAGGTAGTGGGTGATAAAGACCCTGCGTACAACAGGTATGTTTCCCCACGAACCTATTGCATGTGAACAGTGTCGTATCACAATCAATTCAATTTCAATTTATTGCAGTGGCGGACCCAGGGGGGTTGCCCTAGTTGCCCGGGCAACACTCTTTTTTCTGTGTCCAAAAAGAATCTGGACCAAGGTTGTTGAAGTTTTCCTCTATTTCATATGGGATTTCCTTCCAATACCAACCATCCCTTGAACTATAATTTGCTATGGCTTCCCCTTGCCAGCAGTTTGAATATCTATATATGCCTAAGTTTGTTGCCCAAACAAGGGGTCCACTACTTATACTCTAAACAGTAGGATATTGTCTATATATTAATAGGGTCTCCAGTCAGGTCAGTGGTCAAGGCTCACCGTACTGACTCTACATAATTTTATTGTTCCAATGTCATGGTGTGGTGATCATCACCATGTCAGTTGGGAGAGGACTATACCAAGTATTGGAATTAGGTATATAGGTAAAGATAGATCGATAAACCTGTATTTTCACCTGTAGTTTTAAGTACACATGGTCACCAGGAGTGATTTATTATACCAATTAAAAATATATATTTCAAAAATTTCAAAGACAATGAAGCACCCTCCTAAGCATCACTTTATCAGGTGAGTAATAACCAATGTTGGCATCAAAGCCTGGCGTGTATATCCTTTTTATTAGGTGTTGCCCTTGTACATACGTATGCATACTATTTCAAAATAAAAGACAAACAGTTAAATGATAATTCATATTTATGATAAAATAAATTTATATTTAATTGCCAAAATGCTATCCTAAACTACATGTACATGATGTAGATTCACGCGCATTATTAGGTGAATCTACAGAATTAATTCCTGGTCCCCCCTGTCAAACCTTGTTTTAAACGACAGTGTAACGTAGGTGCGGTCACCCATCTAGCTACTGACAACACTCGACATTGATGAAGTAGTGAGCGGGTTATACCGCATCCGTGGAAAAGCTACATTGCTAGTAAGGCAGAATTTCACCTCATATTCCTTAGCTGTTACACGATTCCCCTTCTACGAGAAGTCTCGCCCCGAGACTTGGCCTGGAGACTCCCGTGGGTCCTCCCTGTCCCAATTCACCTTCCCTAACCACCGGGAAACTGGCCTTACATTACAACACAGAATCCCACCGCTGCCACCAAATGTGACGTGCGGGCGGTCATTCATCCAGCTACTACATGGCTATGCTGAACTAGCGAGCGGGTCCCCGGGTTATACCGCTTTCCCCTCATTTCCTTAGCTGTTACAGACAGTATAGATTCAATATGATTTTTTTAACATATCATTGAACTCATATCTGAATATATTATAAACTACTTACTCACATGCAACTTGATTTTCGAATTGATTTATTTGGCTCTTGGATCTTGGATTTGGAAATAATCCACATCGTGGCTATATATCTACGGGCATTCCGGGGTGAAGACCTAACTTAATAAATTTAATCATTGTGATGTCCCACAACTGTGCTATTTCTATAATCCAATGTCTTTCACTTTAACTTCCTTGATTTTAGGTAGAAGCCATGATAGGTAGTGCCACATGTGGCACAGGAAACAGTTCTCATGCTAAAACTCAGATTTTGTGCTCAAGTCCATTTTCTTATTTAGGTTACGGATTAATAAAAAAAACAAAAACATTTTGCCAACGAGTTTGAAGAATTTTGAAGAGACTTAGGACCGAATACCATTTTCAGTTGACTTTTGACTGTGTAACCTGATTTTAATGCAGTTGCAATAAATTAGGTTTGAGCACAGAATCCATGTTTGAGTGTGAATGTTCCGAACGAATAAGCGTGTTCTACTTCAGCAAAGACACTCGTCATATAAACATAAGTCATATCCCAGTAATGTCGCGTACTCTCATCAAAATCTCGGGAAGTGACAATAAAACTACAAGGGAAACTAATGCGCATAAGAAAACATCACACAAAGAAATAGCATATATCCAAAGGGATCATGATATGGCGACCATAACACTTGTCTTCATCAACCTGTATTTTGAACATCCAGTGTTGTAAGTTTGGTCATCAGCAGCCGACATCTATCACGGGAGTTAAGTTCTTGAATACGGAAACAACTGCGACATGTTAACAACGTATGAATGGAAACAAGACTGTTACTACCAAGAAAGGGAACGTTCAGGACAGGAAAATATCGTACAGCTTAGTAGTAAGCCGTCCCCGCTGGCCATATTGTAAATAAAGATCGAGGTAAGCGGCTGCTGAAGAAGAGTCTATAGTGTCAGGTTCAGGATGGTATATACGTTCGATATGGGGTAACTACATCTATTGTTGTTAAAAAACCCAGCACATTGTCGATATATTTGCTCATGAAAATGAGAGTTTTTGTTACCAGTCCTGATAAGCTCATCAGTAAGTATCCAGACTAATATGAAAACAAAAACGAATCGGCCAGAAGAGCGGCACAGTACGTTTGTTCTCCTAAAGGAATATCTATAATCTACTAGAAAATCTCAATTGCCCCCGAACTCAAAAAAGATATTGTCAACCAGGAACTCAATCATGCTCATAATATCAATCCTCAGTATATTTCATTTTGGCTTTTGTTGTGATTTCCACTAAAGATGCTCCAAAAAATGTAAACCCATACTCGCCAATCAATCGGCCTTTGTTGAAAAATAAAGCTTTCAAAAGAAGAGAACGATCAACCATTCATCTACATTTATGTGTGGTTTCATGATACTTTTGGATTTTGGCGGTGCAAGGAGCTTTAATATATATTCTTGTTTCCGAAGATTACCGGAAAAACCCGAACAAATATCAGACGAAGTTTTCCATAGTATTTTACTTTGTCAAAGTAGTTTACATTTTTAGGATAATTCAAATCCAGGACTGTTTGTATTAAACTGATTTCGTCTACATGGCAAATAAAGAAATTAAAATCAAGACTTGACAATCGAAACCGAAAGTAGAAATACCCGAAATTCCCAGAAACGTAGCCTTAACTTGTCATAATATGACGGACAAGGAAGAAATGATGTAAGATTTTCAACATGGACATACGAGACGAGGTTGCAAAGACATGTATACTTATAAAATCAATTCCATTTGATACAGATGATAAATCTATATCGAGTGCTGTCAGCGACGAGGCGACTGTTTGCCGAGTCTTTCGTTACACAGAACAGGCGGATAACAGCACCCGATTTATAGCCCAACTAAGCAATCGACAAGGTAAACAGTACAATAATGTACAATGAGTTCTACTCCGTTAGTTTAATGTTAGATTACTGTTTTTCCTATAAATTTTCCTGATTTCATCCCATTTTATATATATAGCTATAGAGATTTGTTCAGTGCTTCTATTAGTTTTATATTGATTAATCTTATAAGGGTACAAAGTTTTCATATCATCACACAGGTTACTTTTGCCATTATTTCTGGACTCTGTCACACAATGTTAAATCTTGCCAAAAAAAATGATGAATCCTAGTCGTTTCAGTACCAGCTAGGGCCCATATTCATCTGAAACTGTTCGTGCTCAAGCATAACTTTTGTGCTCAAACCAAATTTACTTTTTAACTCACTCACTTATATAATGTAAAACGATAAAAAAGTCAAATGAAAACATTGAAAACAGTATTTGTCTTTATAGATCTTTAAATTCTTTCCAAATCATTCACAAAATAAGATTTTATTATTATTCTATAAATGGAACAATAAATTCAGCATTATTGAGCTCAGAATCAATGCTTGAGAATGAGAATACTTCATGAATACTGGCCCTGGTTGTTTCCGTACCTAAAAAAAGGACGTTTCGGTAATTTTTTGTAAGGACGAAAAATGTTGAAGAATCTCAAACACACAGCATACAAAAAGTGGAAAAGTACAACAAAGTTAAATCATATAGTTCCAAGTCCTCAAAAATCTTTTAAAATTTAAACATCTTTTTGGAAGCATATCCAATCATCTTAAAAAAGTACCCAAATAACTTGGTACCAAAAGGACTGAGTACTGAAACGTTTGTACCCTGAAATTGGTTTGGTCAATTAAATTAAAACTCTAAAAGATCTATGACAATTAGATAATATTACTAACTGAATTAAGTGCTGAATAATTTTCCAGAGCTCTGCATGTGCCAAATTTCATCAAAATGGGACGAGAAATCAATTCTGTAAATTTTCTGAAAAAGAGTGAATTAACATATTACCCAATGGGAAAATAACATGACAGACTGATCTCATGTCACTGTACAATTAGATAATATTACTAACTGAATTAAGTGCTGAATAATTTTCCAGAGCTCTGCATGTGCCAAATTTCATCAAAATGGGACGAGAAATCAATTCTGCAAATTTTCTGAAAAAGAGTGAATTAACATATTACCCAATGGAAAAATAACCTCAGACTTGAATTAATAGCTAGATCCCATCACAGTCCTATAATGATAATAAAATAACAATTTCCCTAGATTTGAGAAGTATACACAATAATTACATAGACAAAGAATCTTTTAATCCATAAATGTATATTTATTACCGTAAACATTTGTAAATTATATAAATCTGAGCTTAATTATTACTACATTCTTGTCACACTTTTGTTTGAGATAATAGAAATTTTGCTCATGTGATAAAATATTGTGTTCAGAAATGTGTCGTGTTTTTATAGTCCCGTCTGATAACAAGTTACCAGGTATCAGCTCAGGTCAATAAGTATAGCTACAATGAACATTGCACACTGATAAGTGAAATAGATAAATTCAACTACAGAAAGCAAAAGTGAAAGTACATTATGATTACATATTTCAATCCAACAACAAGTCCATGTCTTGTTATAACCCATCCATATCTAATACAGTTCAATGCAAATACCCACTAGAGTGATAGTTCATTGTCCTGTAAATCAGTTATAAACCCCTCCATATCTAATACAGTTCAGTACAAATACCCACTAGAGTTATAGTTCATTGTCCTGTAAATCATTTATAAATCCATCCATATCTTATACAGTTCAGTACAAATACCCACTAGAGGGATAGTTCATTGTCCTGTAAATCAGTTATAAACCCCTCCATATCTAATACAGTTCAGTACAAATACCCACTAGAGTTATAGTTCATTGTCCTGTAAATCAGTTATAAATCCATCCATATCTTATACAGTTCAGTACAAATACCCACTAGAGTGATAGTTCATTGTCCTGTAAATCAATTATAAACCCATCCATATCCAATACAGTTCAGTACAAATACCCACTAGAGTGATAGTTCATTGTCCTGGAAATCAGTTATAAACCCATCCATATCTAATACAGTTCAGTACAAATACCCACTAGAGTGATAGTTCATTGGACTGTAAATCAGTTATAAACCCATCCATATCTAATACAGTTCAGTACAAATACCCACTAGAGTGATAGTTCATTGTCCTGTAAATCAATTATAAACCCATCTATATCTAATACAGTTCAGTACAAATACCCACTAGAGTGATAGTTCTTTGTCCTGTAAATCAGTTATAAACCCATCCATATCTAATACAGTTCAGTACAAATACCCACTAGAGTGATAATTAATTGTCATGTAAATCAGTTATAAACCCATCAATATCTAATACAGTTCAGTACAAATACCCACTAGAGTTATAGTTCATTGTCCTGTAAATCAGTTATAAGCCCACCCTCTAATTTGACAGATATTAAATGTTGCCCCCTGGGCTTATTGCAGGATAAATATGTGAATACTTTTTAAATTCCTGCTTTTGTTTTCCTTCCTGAAAACTTGAATTGTCAATTGAATTTTTTTAATATTTCAAAACGTGTGATAAAAAGGTCATTGATATTATATCCAGCTATGCAATGTCATAGATAACAACCTCTGCAGACAGCAATTTCTTTTAGATATAATCAATATTTACCTGGATTAATGATTCATGTTCCCAGGAATTACAACTGAACAGACCTAAAAAGTTGAAAAATATAGTTTCTCTCATTCCATGTCCCCTGAACACAACAACTGTCACATTAATAAATATTATGAATTCTTTAGAAATTATTTGACAGTGTTAAGAAATCAAAAGCCTTAAATATTAATTATGTCACAATGAAATTCATCTGAAATTACAATACATGTATAATGTACATCTGAATGAATTCAAGATTATCTATACAGCTTACTAGAAAACTGAATAATACTTCTTAATTATGAATTACTATAAATTTGATGGAATTTCTATACTATTACCTTTATTATATTATCTTAACTCATTCACCCCTGAAGTTTCATAATGAACTAAAGTCCAACCTTTGAATTGGAAGAGTTCAAATGTGTCTTCAGGGGTGAATGAGTTAATGTATGTATCTAGAATAGATTTTTCTATCTTAATGAGTGAAACAAGTCAGCATGAGGAAGTATTCATGTTTAACGTGAAGCAGGAAATGTTAAGTGCTGACATATATTCTTAATATATTGTTTGTTTCTGGGAACAACCAACACAATCTGACTCATAATCCTCAGAGATACTCACTGAGATCGAACATGACACAGAGTCATGATACAAAGGTTTGATATACTGTAAAACAAAAATAGGGATGAGTAGTAGTGTGTAGTGTTTATAGTGGGTACAGTAATGATACAGAAAAGCTAGTGTCAAACAGGAATACATAGTTTCCAAAGCATAACATTAGTTAGTTTTTTACAGAAATAAGGGAATCTTTAAACAAAAATAACCCTTTGTTCTAACTCTCATCGAATGGTTATCATTGTTTTCCAGATGCTGATAGGCTGATCAGATCTAACGGTCTTTATTTACGGAACCCCGACCATGAAAAGGTCAAAGTGGAGGTTGGGTTCTGTCCTGAATGTATTGTACCAACTGAGTGGGTAGAATGTAGCCCTTCTGATTTGATGGAGAACAATGATCCGGACACGGAACACTCTGATAGGCATGGTGACTATAGTAACAGATTCTTACAAGAGACAAATGACAACGGCGCCGTTAGGAGCGCCGCTATAGAGGAACCAAACACTAAGGACGACCTGGTCACCAAGTTTTCTGCTCTTACAGTATTTTCAGATGAGGAAGAAAAAAATGAAGACACAAAGAATGGAAAAGACAAGGATGCTGATGATTTACTTATTCCAAGTACAGATACAGAAAGAGAAGATGAACCATCAGAAAAAGCAGCTGATGATACAGAGGTATATAGGCGACCCAGTCAGGTAGTGTAATGATCGCCACCGTCATCATTTAACTATTTTGTAACTAAAAAAATGTATACCTTCCCTAGAGTATAAATTGCAGATACTCCAACACACTTTAAATAAGGTCGGAGTCATTACTCATGGAAAAGCTTAAAACTACATCAATACAATTTAATTGCCATATATGACCTTCAAAGTCTTTTTTGTATTGATTGTAAAATTTGGGCACTATCCTTTTGAACATGTTTACAAAACACAACTTTATTATGTTCAACACCTTTGAATTTCTCTCTTTTTCTGTTTAGGAAGTTATTAACTAGAAATATATTTTATAGGCGAAACAAAAATTAAAAATTGGCTCGTTTTTGCTCTCTGATTTTATTAGAGCCCATTGGTCATATTGAAAAATATATTCAAAAGCTAAACTTTGAAAAACAATTATTCCTCTTTACTTGGGGTAATATTTGTAATATTCTTTTGTACTTAAGATAACAAATGTTTCGTGTAAGAAGTTTACCATTCAGGAGTTTTAATGTCGCTGAAAAGAACTTGGTGGATTGCCAGCGACCAGGTAGTTGAGTTGGTAGAGCATTGGTCTAGAGTTTGGATGTCCTGGGTTCGAATCCTGGTCTGGCTTTGAATGCTTCATGTCCTGTTACATTACATTGATCAAAATATCAGCAAGATACAGTATCCTGTTAATGGCCTGTTCTCTTGGACATTTGTAAGGACAAAGCCATTATGTATGTCTGCAATAAAATAAACATATGAAGAATCAGAAATCTGTTTCTCATATTAAATTCCTCAGAACGGCCATTGCAATGTTTGGTTATATATTTATTCGTACAGTTTAACTGACCTTATAGTAACTTCTTGATTTTATGTATCAATATGATTGTCTTCACAGAAAGCTACAGAGGTGCAGAGTACAAGCGACCCTGATGTAGCGAAGTACAGTCCTCCCCAACATGACACACCACAGGCAGATACGTATGAACCAATGGGAGACATCTACATACCAATGTGGAAGATGACACCAAAGCACAGACCTGTGCCATTGATGGAACCAAGTGTCACAAAAACCTCAATAGAAAAAGGTCAAAGGTCATTATCTGTTTGTGTTGATCATCATAAGTCGTTGACAGAGACCGATGTGTTGGTCTTTCCAGACAATAAGGAAAATCAGAGAGTCATGGACAGCAGATGTGATTCTTCCAGAGATTCTGTTCTTGGTGGTCATGATTCTGTGGTTACAGGGGCTGCAGATAAAGGAGAGAATAGTCCAGAAATATCCAAAGGAGTTGAAGGCCAGGAGTTTGTGAAGGACACATTTCCTTCTGAAATTGAACATGAGGAATGTGTTCAGTCAATAAATACAAGTCTGAAATTCCAGGCAAATGAATTGGAATCTGCAAAATTGACAGAAATAGCAGGAAAGGAAATGGAAAAGTTTAAACAAACTATCACAGGGGATAGTGATTCATACAAACAGATTGGAGACTTTAAAACAAAGCACAAGTCCTCACAGGAAATACTGAAGAATGAGGCAGCTAACCTACACGTTACAACAGGGGACCAGAACGTTGGAGAAGTAGCAACCAGAGCTCCACCGGTGGCCGTCACCTCTCAACCCGTCTGTACAGGAGATCAACAATCTCCTCCCTCACATAGCCACACGCCATCACCGGTTCTGTTACATCCTATTCAGCCTCATACTGGTCAGTCAGGGCAAGGTCAGCCATTACAACCTTCTCAGTGTCTTGCTGGTCAGTTCGGTCAAGAACAACCACTACAATCTTTTCAGCCTCCTTCTGGTCAGTTTGGTCAAGGTCAGCAGCCTGCTGGCCAATTTGGTCAAGTTCAACAGCTTACTGGTCAATTAGGCCAAGACCAACAGTCTTCTGGTCAGTTTGGTCAAGTTCAACAGCTTGCTGGTCAATTAGGTCAAGGTCAACATCTTACTGGTAAGTTTGATCAAGGTCAGCAGCTTGCTGGACAATTGGATCCTCAACAACCACAAACAAGTCAGTTTAATCAAGGTCTCCAGTTTCCTGGTCAGTTAGGCCCAAGTCAACCACTCACAGGCAGGTTATCTCTAGCTCCGGAGAATGTTGGTCAGCGATTTTCAAATGCAAACAGTCAACAGATGACACAGCAGGGACAAGGCCCAACTCAACCAATCACAGACAGGTTATCTCTAGCTCCAGAGAATATTGGTCAGCGATTTTCAAATGCAAACAGTCAACAGATGACACAGCAGGGACAAGGACCAACTCAACCACTCATAGACAGGTTATCTGCAGCTTCGGAGATTGTTGGTCAGCAATTTTCAAATGTATACTGTCAACAGGGTCAACAAATTCTTCCTGCACTAAATTATCCACAACAAGGACAAAGTGGCCATCCACATTGGGCAGAATATTACCCATATCAAGGATCACCGAGTGCTGCAGTTTTCTATCAACAACACTGGGGGCCTGGTTATCCTGGCATGCCACAGTTTTCGAATCCTGGTATGACACCACACCAAACTCCACATATGGCACCACCTGGACCACAACATCACATCATTCCACCGCAAAATATTGTTCCACACCAGGTAGCACCACCTTCTGGAACATATGGAGTGATAACTCATCCAAGCTTTCCTGCCTTGTATCCATCTGCTTCTAGCCCTGAAGCTCCCCCACTAACAGCAGAATCTAACATCACAAGACCTATGGCAGAACAAAGTGAGGATTTGGTGACAGAAAACAAGTATCTGGCTACACATAATGATGAGCATAGACAGGAAATTCGAACAAACAATCATGCGACCACATCAGAGACAGGTAAAGGGGATACAGCAAACAGCATTATTTCTGAGACAAAAGGAGCTGGGTCCCGAAAGAAAATAGAAAACTTGAGCGCAAAGATGGAGGAGGACAGCTTAAGAGAACTTGAGCAGTGGGCCCAGTCCTCAAGCCCTAGACAGAGGGATGCCACATCTGGAGAAGCAGCAGGTATTGTGCCGAGCTTTGACAGTTAGTTTTAATATATATCACTGTATACTCCCTAAGGTCCAAATGTTTGAAAATAGAAATGAAAAAAGAAAACTGCAGGGGTCAAAGTAAGAACATGTGCATTACAAATCCCAAGTAAACTTGACCAATGTTTCCATTTATTTATACAAGCAGAGCATCAAACAGAGTGTCCAATTGATGGACCACAAAGCATATGAAAAAGTTGATAGGGGAAGTTACTCTGAGCCAAAAAAATCCTTCAGGTTGCTTCATCTTCTATATAAAGGGAGAACACTCCATGTCAAAAGCACTCTGAGTGGCACTCCTCTCTGCGAATAAAACTGATGCAGTGGTACCCTTTACCTTAAGCTATTCTGAATTTGTTAACTTAGTATATGTTTCCTAAAAGTAAGTGACATCAAATTTTGAGACAACAAGTTCTGTTTATAAGTACAAATATTTGTTGTTGTTGTTGTTATCGAAGATTGCGTGCTTTATTCTTAAGACTTTAAGTGACCATTCTCAAGTTGTTTGTATGCTGATGATGACTAAGGCTAACATTTACACAAGAATAAAATCCAATTTGAAGCTAAAAAAACCCCACATTTTCACATGGCTCTGCACCCATCAGTTTGCCTTTCTGTAATTATAGAGTCAGACGTATGCAGGTATGTTGAATATAAATTTTCTACCCAGACGTGTAGAATTTGGGTCAGAACCGAGACTTTACTAAGGGTAAGGCACCAAATTCTGTACAGGAGTGTAGTATTTGGGTCAGAACCGAGGCTTTACTAAGGGTAAGGCACCAAATTCTGTACAGGAGTGTAGAATTTGAGTCAGAACCGAGACTTTACTAAGGGTAAGGCACCAAATTCTGTACAGGAGTGTAGTATTTGGGTCAGAACCGAGGCTTTACTAAGGGTAAGGCACCAAATTGTGCACAGGAGTATAGTATTTGGGTCAGAACCGTGGCTTTACTAAGGGTAAGGCACCAAATTCTGTACAGGAGTATAGTATTTGGGTCAGAACCGAGACTTTACTAAGGGTAAGGCACCAAATTCTGTACAGGAGTGTAGTATTTGGGTCAGAACCGAGGCTTTACTAAGGGTAAGGCACCAAATTCTGTACAGGAATGTAGTATTTGGGTCAGAACCGAGGCTTTACTAAGGGTAAGGCACCAAATTCTGGTAAGGAGTGTAGTATTTGGGTCAGAACCGAGGCTTTACTAAGGGTAAGACACCAAATTCTGTACAGGAAGGTAGTATTTGGGTCAGAGCCGAGGCTTTACTAAGGGTAAGGCACCAAATTCTGTACAGGAGTGTAGTATTTGGGTCTGAACCAAGACTTTACTAAGGGAGGAGTGTAGAATTTCCATATCCTATATGCTAACAAAATGATTGACTCTTTTCCTGTCATCTTGTTACTGAAAATTTGGTAAAACACAACAAAGACGACATAAATGCAACACTTAATATAGCAAGTTTCTAGATAACATATATACACCTACTATGACTATGATTCGAAACAGGAGGAAAAAACAGTAAACTGTAGGTATATGTCAAATTTAGTAATCCATGTAAGTCATTCAGGGCAATTAGCTTGTGCGACACCGCTTAATGTTCATTAAGTGATATCGGTCGCCAATCGCAACATTGTCAGTCATTTAAACGAGGTTTTCGACAGGCTTTTGATTACAATGTCATAATACAATGCTGTCATCTGATTGTGATGACACAATAGTAAAGGTTACTGAATGCACCCATGTTGGGCATCTATGTAGAGTTTGGAGAAAGGTGTTTTAATGTGTTACAGTCTATTGTAAAAGAGAAAACATATTTCTTGAGAGAAAATTGAAGAATCCATGAAACAACAGTACAGTAAATCTTCCCTGATCTTGATGAAATAACTTCTCCTCTAGAATTTTAAGTCAAAACATAAACAATGAATGATACACATTGTTAGAGTTCCTCGTTTATAGTGTCAATGTCACCCTGTTAAATACAGGCCGCTTCTTGCCCAATCTGCAGTGTGCAATTTCTCTTGAGCTTTTTTGGTAAAGCAGAAGACAAGTATAGAAGAGATCCCAGGTTGGACTCTAGCAAATGCATTGAAAAAATCATGACTTCTGTTACATTGTCATCCAAGTAGAGACCCAGGAAATATTGACAAATTTGCTCAGCATTATTTTCGCAAGAATTGGTATTACCCCTGGAAGACTTGAGACAATGCAAGTTCTTTTCAGGTGGGGGCCAGTATGTCACCCTGGACAAATTCTAGCCACTTTCTACTGACTAGGCCGTTCATTATCTGTGAGATGTTTGAACTGGTGAACTGGTAGAATCCTCAAAGACTGTTGTAGCAACAACTTAGTAATGAACTGAAAATCAAAATTAACTGAATTTCTGTAATTACAACTAAAGTATCCTTTATACCAACAGATTCCAGAGAAGAGAACTTGTACGATTCCATCCTGTCCATTGAAGGCGCAAAACCTAATCAGATATCAGTACAGAAGGACTTCGGTCATATCAAATTATTGAATGGAGAACTCAGTCATGCAAAGGTATTGTATTCTGGGTATTTTGTTTGTGTGATAGTTCATGCTAACTTTAAAACCAAAGGAGTTGCAGACCGCTTTGTCGCCAGCATTATCAGAGCTGTGGTGGCCAAGTGGTAAAGGTGTCTGACCGTGTATGATCACTAGCCCTCCACCACTGGGTCACAGGTTTGAGACCTATGTGGGGCAGTCACCAGGTACTGGACACTGGTCTGTGTTTTTTTTGCTGGGCACTCCAGTTTTCAACCACTGTAAAAACAGGATATGTCCTTATAATTATATGACCATAGCTGTTCATAGGACATAAAACAAGCATGGTTATTGGTGATGGTTATGCAGCAGAAGTTACTTCCCCCTTTTTCAACACCGTGAGAGTCAAGGACGTTTTATTACTATTGTATGGCATTGTTACTATACAACCCTACCACATTCAGATGGCATTCATAGAGAATATTTAATGGTTTACCGCTGGATAACATATATGTTTTCATGGGTGTGAAACATAAGTGAAAAAATTGATATATTTCTGCCTTATGAGTGAAATATATGATATTCAATGGAAAAAAAATAATCTATTTATTACATTTTAAAATAAAAATGTTACTGAATCAAGATAGTTTGGATGTAACAGTATAACTTTAATTGGCACCACATTCTAATGAGGTCATGCTTGACAACAAGGCTACGCGCCATTTTGGATGTTCTGCTATCATTTGGTAAGATTTGCTTTCATAAATGGCATCAATTGTGTTGTTAAATTAATACTGTATGCAGGAGAGATTTACTGAAACGAACCATTTTTCTACTGTCTCTTCATCATTATTTGAACAGAAAATCTGTAACTTGAATGAAATGAATAGAAAGTGCCATTCTGATTAGTCGATACAATATGTGATAAGTGTGAGAATAGAACTTTTACATTTGTCACAGTGTGAAAGATATATGTTATCGACTTGATAGATAATTTGATATTTCACTGGCAAAAATGTAATAAAGATAGGCTATGAAGGCCATGAGTCACTTGTTGACATCATCATTATTACCATAAATATGGTATTTGAACTTAAAGCTGAATAATAAGTGTGCTTAAATTTTCTATGAGATATACAGATTTCAAAAATGGTACATCTTTCAGATGGCATTCATAGGCAATATAAATGCCAACTGGACAAAGGCAGACACACTGAAGTATGTTAGCAATTCATGTTGTCCAATTGGCATTCATATTGCCTATAGATGCCAACTGAAAGCAGTTCAATGTTCCAGTTAATCTAAGATGATAAGCCCTCTTGTCTCTGTTCTCAAATCCAAAATTAAAAAAACATGGTAGGTTTGATATTGTAAATCGTGTGAAGTTGAGGATTTTTTATATGAAGATCAGAGTTGAATATGATGATCAATATTTTCAGTGAGAGAGATAACATGTTTGGTACTGTGCATAGTCTATAGTGTATGTTTTTTGTCTCATAGGTCGATGTGATTGTCAACCTTACCAATAAAGACCTGAAGTTAAATTTGGGAAATGTGTCGAAGTCCATACTTGAGGCTGCTGGACAAGAAATCCAGGAGGAATGTAGAAAGACGTACCCCAGGGGTATCAGACAGGATTTGATTGCTGTGACTTCAGGAGGAAGACTATCCTGTCGGAAGATATTTCATATCATTGTGCCTCGATGGGATGGTGTAGCAGAATCTTTGAATAAGGTATGGAAGCCAGACTGCTGAATGTATGTGTTAACTCATTCACCCCTGAATACACATTTGAACCCCTCCAATTCAAAGTTTGGAATAGTTCATTATGACATTTCAGGGGTGAATGAGTTAATAACATGTTACTTAAGCACTACCAGGTATAAGCCTTGAAGCAATATTATACCAGCAATGTTCACTTTGGGGAAGGTATTACATGTATTTCGTGTATAAGATTAATGATGTCCTACTTTACAGTGTCATTGAATAGGAATAGAACATGGCTTATTATCTCTTATAGCTATTTGTAAATATTAGATGACACATGTTTTTCCTACATCAGAATATTCACTTTATGACGTCACTTTAATTGTAACGTCACAATGGTCACTGCCCTTTGCAGAATTCTTGACAATTTGCTTATGCTCTGTGTTGTTTAATGATAAAGCATAAAAATCTCATATCTGCAGTTAAGTACTTCTATTTCAATGGATATGTGTTATAGGGAACTAAGAAAGTGATTTTGACTTCGACCTCATCTTGGTTAATATCATTTTCTCAGGTCTGTATAACAACATATTTAACTCAAGTCAATAATTGATAAAATATTATAAACAGTTTCTTTTTGTATATATATTGTATTATACAGTGTATAGGAATGTCTACAGTAACACTATTTACTTTCCAGATCTTGGGAAAGTTGGTGACAACATGTATATCTATGGCAATACGTCAAGAAATGACCTCTATAGCCTTCCCTGCTATTGGCACTGGGAAAATGGGATACCCTGCAGACCTGGTTGCCAAGGCAATGCTCCAGAGCACCAAAATGTTCTTGACGAATGAGCAATTAAGCAATTTCCTGGTGTGCTTTGTTATTTACCATGGAGACACAGCTATTAAAAAGGTATTAACTGTAATTATTGAGACACAGCTATTAGGAAGGTAATAACTGTAATTATTGAGGCACAGCTAATAGAAAGGTATCAGTGTAGTCATTGAGACACAGCTAATAGAGACACAGCTAACAGAAAGGTATTACTGTAGTCATTGAGACACAGCTAATAGAAAGGTATTACTGTAGTCATTGAGACACAGCTAATAGAAAGGTATTACTGTAGTCATTGAGACACAGCTAATGGAGACACAGCTAATAGAAAGATATTACTGTAACCATGGAGACACAGTTAATGGAGACACAACTAATAGAAAGGTATTACTGTAGTCATTGAGACACAGCTAATGGATACACAGCTAATAGAAAGGTAATTACTGTAGTCATTGCGACACAGCTAATAGAAAGGTATCACTGTAGTCATTGAGACACAGCTAATAGAAAGGAATTACTGTAGTCATTGAGACACAGCTAATGGAGACTCAGCTAATAGAAAGGTATCACTGTAGTCATTGAGACACAGCTAATAGAAAGGTATCACTGTAGTCATTGAGACACAGCTAATAGAAAGATATTACTGTAACCATGGAGACAGTTAATGGAGACACAACTAATAGAAAGGTATTACTGTAGTCATTGAGACACAGCTAATGGAGACACAGCTAATAGAAAGGTAATTACTGTAGGCATTGAGACACAGCTGATAGAAAGGTTATTACTGTAGTCATTGAGACACAGCTAATAGAAAGGTAATTACTGTAGTGATTGAGACACAGCTAATAGAAAGGTATTTACTGTAGTCATTGAGACACGGCTAATAGAAAGGTAATTAGTGTAGTCATTGAGACACAGCTAATAGAAAGGTATCACTGTAGTCATTGATACACAGCTAATAGAAAGGTATCACTGTAGTCATTGAGACACAGGTAAAAGAAAGGTTATTACTGTAGTCATTGAGACACAGCTAATAGAAATGTATCACTGTAGTCATTGAGACACAGCTAATAGAAAGGGATCACTGTAGTCATTGAGACACAGCTAATAGAAAGGAAATTACTGTAGTCATTGAGACACAGCTAATAGAAAGGAAATTACTGTAGTCATTGAGACACAGCTAATAGAAAGGGATCACTGTAGTCATTGAGACACAGCTAATAGAAAGGTAATTACTGTAGTCATTGAGACACAGCTAATAGAAAGGTATTAACTGTAGTCATTGAGACACAGCTAATGGAGACACAGATAATAGAAAGGTATTACTGTAGTCATTGAGACACAGCTGATAGAAAGATAATTACTGTAGTCATTGAGACACAGCTGATAGAAAGGTATTACTGTAGTCATTGAGACACAGCTAATAGAAAGGTATTACTGTAGTCATTGAGATACAGTTAATTGAGACACAGATAATAGAAAGGTAATTACTGTAGTCATGGGGACACAGCTAATAGAAAGGTAATTACTGTAGTCATTGAGACACAGCTAATGGAGACACAGCTAATAGAAAGGTATTACTGTAGTCATTGAGATACAGTTAATGGAGACACAGATAATAGAAAGGTAATTACTGTAGTCATGGAGACACAGCTAATAGAAAGGTAATTACTGTAGTCATTGAGACACAGCTGATAGAAAGGTAATTACTGTAGTCATTGAGACACAGCTGATAGAAAGGTAATTACTGTAGTTATTGAGACACAGCTGAAAGAAAGGTAATTACTGTAGTCATTGAGACACAGCTGATAGAAAGGTATTACTGTCGTCATTGAGATACAGCTAATGGAGACACAGCTTACAGAAAGGTATTACTGTAACCATGGAGTCACAGCTAATGGATACACAGCTAATAGAAAGGTAATTACTGTAGTCATTGAGACACAGCTCATAGAAAGGGAATTACTGTAGTCATTGAGACACAGCTGATAGAAAGATAATTACTGTAGTCATTGAGACACAGCTGATAGAAAGGTATTACTGTAGTCATTGAGATACAGCTAATGGAGACACAGCTTATAGAAAGGTATTACTGTAACCATGGAGTCACAGCTAATGGAGACACAGCTAATAGAAAGGTATTACTGTAACCATGGATACACAGCTAATAGAAAGGTATTACTGTAGTCATTGAGATACAGCTAATGGAGACACAGATAATAGAAAGGTATTGCTCTGTGATACACTGATATGTAGAAACAGAAATGTAAACATTTCTAAGGTCAAGGTCACTGTTGCTAAAAATAGACAATAGGGGTAGGATGCAGTCTTTATCTTCAAATCCAAAATACTGATCTTTTGGAAATTTGACATGGTGATACATTATGATATGGATGTGCAAAAGGGGTTAAAAATGGTTCTATGGTCAATGTCACTGTAACGTTAAAAAAACCTTGTGGGATGGTGTAGTGTTACAGTCTGTCACATTGGGTGGCATATGCTGACCTGTAAGTGTTCTAGTGAAATTAAAAATGGACAAAATACAAGGTATTGTACATAAAGTGGTCCATTATAAAACTGACTCTGGGGAATGATTGCCTAAAAGTGATACACAGTGTAAAAAAGATAAATAATAATAATAATAATAATAATAATAATATCTTTTATTTATCCAGGGTTACATATTTAGACAATGTCTAGTTTACAATATGGCCCTGCATTAATACATATATACAAGCATGACAACAATTTTAGCATAATAATAGGATGATATGTTACATAAAATAGAATTACAACATTACGAACAGTATATTTAATATCATAGATCAGACAAATCAGGGTTTTGTAAAGTAATGATCCAGATATCTGCCTTTAAAAACACTAACACTACATGAATCTCTAACTGTGTCACTTGTATATAAAGCTGCATGACTGGTACTTGAACAGGTCTAAGATTTGTTGAAGTAAACTTAATATGGTGTTTGTATATGAACAGGCTTTTGAAGACACAGCTATGTTAGTTCTGAAGTCAAACGATGAAGTGGAACCGATGGAGGTAGACGAACAGGATTACGATGGCGGCCACACATACACTCAAATCTCATATCCTCATGACAACCAAACTTATGTTAACGTCGGGGATAACAACAAAGACGAACATCTGTATCTTCCTCTAAAATTCAGCCAATCAGGAGCTCAACAAAATTCATCTCTGGAGAGTGATGATAGTGACCTTTATATGTGCATGAATCAAAATAAAAAGGATGGCACATATGTAAATATGCAAGAAGTTAAAAAGCAGCGTCAGGAGGATGATGCATATGCATTTGTGCAAGGACATAAAAAGCAAGTGGAATATTTAAAGGATAAACCAATGAGAAACACAGAGACACCCAAGATCAGACAAAGAACCTCAGAGATGGAAACAGCAGAGAGGTCGCCAAAGGGAAGTAAGTTTTCGGAAGGTGTGTTTTATTTTGGAAAAATTGAGTTTATTTTAGACCATAAAAATATTCATTTATTTCCAAGTTAAAGCATTGCCCTAAAACTGTGTAAGGAAGCAACAGTATTTCTGCAGTTTTCTGAGAAATTTTAGTAAGAAGATGAAATTGAGCATGTTTTTATTATCCATCCGTTTTAAAGGTACATTGTATTTTAATGCAATTTTACAAGAAAGATTGCTATATTTTGTACCCATCCTTAATGAAAGATCATCTAGAGACATTTAGTCTGTATGTTATCTCACAAAGGTACATTAGTTTACAGACTTAGATCAGGCTCTGATTTAAAATAACCATAAAGCTGTAGAGGCACGGTAGTCTAGTGGTAGGATGCCGGGCTTGTGACCGAAGGGTTGCAGGTTCGAGTCACATCACTGCACTGTGTTGTATCTTTGAGCAAGATACTTTGCTACGCTTGTTCCAGTCTACTCAGCTGTAAATGAGTACGTGGTTGGGCAGGGCTAGAACTGTTGAATGCTAACTGTAAGGGCAAAAATGGCAGCACCGGCTGTATGCTCCCCAGGGAGTTGAGAAAGATATTGGCTTGTTGCAAAGGCCCTATAACCAGGGATAATAATTTGTGAACCACTTTGAGACGACCTATGAACTAGGTTGTGATAAAGCGGTATGTAAAAACCTTGAATTATTGTTATTGTTATTAGATAATCTTTATATATTCCAAATACATATTTTATGTTTACAGGATATTTTTGTGATTGTTCCTAATGGAAAACTATATATCTAACAATAAATGCATATCCAACAAAATATACACATGGACTGCATGGTATTTCACAATAATATATCTGTCACACACTACATATCTCACAAACAACTTAATGATCTCACAAACTACATATCTCACAAACTACATAATTATCTCACACACTACATATCTCACAGACAACTTAAAAATCTCACACACTACATATCTCACAAACAACTGAATAATCTCACAAACTGCATATCTCAGACAACTTAATAATCTCACACACTACATATCTCACAAACAGCGTAATAATCTCACACACTACATATATCACAAACTAAATAATTAGGGCCCCGTATCGCAGATACGGGTGCCCTATAGTAATCACTCTGTCTGTCTGTCTGTCTGACCGTCCACAAATTTTGTTCCTGGCTGATAACTTTGGTATTCATTGACCGATGTACATGAAACTTGGTCAAGATGTTCAGTTCACAAAAATACACATTGAGGTAAAAAGGTCAAGGTCAAATGTCAAGGTCATTAGGTTCAAATGTCAAGGTCAAATTTTGCATCTTTTCACTGATGAACATTTTGTTATGACATGATGCGGCAAAGTTGATCAGAATTAAACAAGGAGTCAACCTGACCAAATGTCAAGGTCATTGGGTCAAAGGTCAAGGTTAAATTTTGTATCTTTTCACTGGTGAACATTTTGGTATGACACTTTGAAGCAATGATGCTCAAAATTAAACAAGGAGTCAACTGCCAAAGGTCAAGGTCATCGGGTCAGGGTCTAGGTCAAAATTTTGTAGCCTTCCACTAATGAGCATTTTATGACATGAAGCAAAGTTGTTCGGAATTAAACAAAGAGACACTGAGGTAAAAAGTTGAGGTCAAAGGTTAAGGTCATTAGATTCAAAGGTCAAGGTCAAATTTTGTATATTTTCCCTTATGAACATTTTGTTATGACTTTATGTAGCAAAGTTGGTGGGAATTTAACAAAGAGTCAAATGACTTAAGGTCAAGGTCACTCGGTCAATGGTCAAGGTAAAATTTAGTATTTTTTTGCTGGTGAATATTTCATTATGACTCTTTGAAGCAATGTTTGTGGGAATTAAGCAACGCGTCATTCTTGATGATTATGGGGTATATATTGCCACAAGACGGGGCCCTTACTGACCTGTCAGTGTTCTAGTTATCTCACACACTACATATATCACAAACTACATAATAATCTCACACACTACATATCTCACAAACAACTAAATCTCACACACTGCATATCTCAGACAACTTAATAATCTCACACACTACATATCTCACAAACAACTTAATAATCTCACACATTACATATCTCACAAACTACATAATTATCTCACACACTACATATCTCACAAACTACATAATTATCTCATACACTACATATCTCACAAACAACTTAATAATCTCACACACTACATATCTCACAAACAACTTAATAATCTCACACATTACATATCTCACAAACTACATAATTAACTCACACACTACATATCTCACAAACTACATAATTATCTCATACACTACATATCTCACAAACAACTTAATAATCTCACACACTACATATCTCACAAACTACATAATTATCTCACACACTACATATCCTACAAACTACATAATTATCTCACACAATAAATATATCATAAATCAAATATCTTAGAAAATACATCCTGGCATCTTGCATAGCACGTATATAACACAACAAGTTTATATCACAAATACACATTTCATTAAAGTTAATAATAAATAAATATATCACAAAATAAATAAATAAATAATGATATCTGACACAATACATACTTACAGATCACAAAACATTATCTTGCAAAATACAAATTCCCTATAATATATACAGGTTTCTTGCTAACATAACACATATTTCATCAAATTGAATGTAGGTGAAAAAAGGACTTCTTTTATAATCTTTTCTGTGAATTAATGCCTTACTGTTTGTTTTAAAAGTAAGCAAACCAGATTTCTGGTAGATTTTAATAAGCAACATAAGAAGATGTCATTTAAAATGTCTATAAACAAGTAAACCATATGTCGTTTAAGATGTCTATAAGCAAGTTAATCTGATGTCATTTAAGATGTCTATAAGCAAGTTAACAAAATGTCGTTTAAGATGTTTATAAGCGGGTAAATCTGATGTAATTTAAGATGTCTAAAGCAAGTTAACCAGATATCATTTAAAATGTCTATAAGCATGTTTACCTGATGTCATTTATAATGTCTATAAAAAAGTTAACCAGATGTAATTTAAGATGTCTATAAATAAGTTAACCTGATGTCATTTAAGATGTCTATAAATAAGTTAACCTGATGTCATTTAAGATGTCTATAAGCAAGTTTACCTGATGTCATTAAAGATGTCTATAACAAGTTAACCTTATGTCATTTCATTTAAGAAGCATGTTTACCAGATGTCAGTCCATATTTTTAAAAGCAAGTAAGCTAAATGTTAGTTTAGATGTTAGATTTATTACCAAGCTTTTTTGACCCACATGAATATTGCTGTCGACAGACCTGCCCAGCATACCTGACCAGCAGCCTCAGTTCTTGCGAGTGACCTACCCACGACCTTTCCCAGAAGATACTGTCAGGTTCTACTTTGAGAACAAGAAGAGATCTGGAGGTGGGGAGATTGTCAAGTTTAATCACTACTTGCAGAAGAAAGTGACTTTGATCCAGTTTAAGGATTCAGAAGGTATGAAACAACAAATGAATTATATTTTTGTACCAATTGCTCTTATGCCTTAGTGCAACGTCTGTTGCGTGTTCATCAACATATCAGAAATGCAGAATTGATTTTGACATCATTTGATCTGTACTCCCCTAGGTCAAAGGAATAACATGTTATATAAATGAAGGAGTGTATCCCCCGAAACACCTGGATGTTGAGGCACAGGGCCCAGAATAAGAGTAAAGTTAAGTCTTTTAAATCCTGTTCATTCAGTGGAGGTAAAGATATTTTAACCTTGTTTAGTAGGGTGGAACATTGGGCTAAGAGAACTCAACATTGTGTGAAAAAGTGTGTAGCCTCTCCCCACCCCTACTCCTTTGGGCAGAGGGGCAGAGGGGCAGAGGGGAGGAGGGACAGGGGAGAAGGGACAGGGGAGGAGGGACAGAGGGGTGGAGGGGAGGAGGGACAGAGGGGTGGAGGGGAGGAGGGACAGAGGGGAGGAGGGACAGAGGAGCAGAGTGACAAAGGGGCAAGGCCCCTTCAGGGACATACAAGTAAATGTTGAAAAGCTACTCCTTGAGTACAGCTAAAAGGAACCTTATTTGGTCTGGAGCATCTTTGACCAACTTTGGACTTAACATTGTATACAAACGCAGAGGGGCTGCTGAGAAAAACTGTACAGTTTGAAAAGTCTATCCTTTATTAGGGATTAAGGAAAAATCTTAATCAGTATGAATTATCTAAGGAAGAAGGACTTGTACATTACTAAACTCAACGTAACAGACTTGTAAATGCATTAACTAACTCAGGGAGAAGGACTTGTACATTAATTGTCTCAACGTAAAGGACTTGTAAATGCATTAACTAACTCAGGGAGAAGGACTTGCACATTAATTGACTCAGGGTGAAGGACTTGCACATTAATTGACTCAGGGAGAAGGACTTGCACATTAATTGACTCAGGGAGAAGGACTTGTACATTAATTGACTCAGGGAGAAGGACTTGTACATTAATTGTCTCAATGTAAAGGACTTGTAAATGCATTAACTAACTCAGGGAGAAGGACTTGCACATTAATTGACTCAGGGAGAAGGACCTGTACATTAACTGACTCAGGGAGAAGGACTTGTACATTAATTGTCTCAATGTAAAGGACTTGTAAATGCATTAACTAACTCAGGGAGAAGGACTTGCACATTAATTGACTCAGGGAGAAGGACTTGTACATTACCTGACTCAGGGAGAAGGACTTGTACATTAATTGACTCAGGGAGAAGGACTTACACATTTATTGACTTAGCGAGAAGGACTTATACATTGACTCAGTAATTGGCTCAGCTAAAAATGACTTTGCAATTACACTAATATTCTTTATCTATATTTTAAGCTGTTTCAAGAGTTATTGCCAAAACTCACAAACTTGAGAGTTTGGAGATTCAAGTTTCCATGGTAACAGGAGAAATGCCTTCCAACATTGAGGAGAAGAAGTTGTTGATTAGTGGAATCAACCCTAAAACAACCTATGACACACTTGTGAACTTCCTGGAGGTCAGAGCTAAGGCAGTCCCTACAGAGGTGATATACGGAAACAGGAAAGACCGGGCAGTGGTATCATTTGAAAGTAAACCAGGTACAGCAAATTGTGTGGGTTCGTTTAGCCCTTTCACCACTAGATCATAATGGACTCATCCAGATCAATGCATGAAAGAGTAAACTAAAGTTGCATAGGGGTGAAAGGGTTAGACAACAACCGTCACATTTCCACAATACTTCCTGTAGATAACCTATCATTGAGTAATAAGTCATCCGAGTCGTAAAAGTTCTTGTAATATGTGTACATTAGGTAACTTATATTATCATTATTAATTTTACTTAAGAAGATGGAACAATTGCAATGAAATTCATTTTTTTACCAAAAATAAAACAAGCTCTATAAGGAGGACCCTGAAATTTTTGCTTTTTAATTTGAACACCATTGAGGTGTTTTCAGCTCTTGTTAATTTTATTCTGAGTACAGTTGGCATCAACGCATGTACATAACCTGTAATTTTGTATAAATGGAAGGATAAAAAGCATGAGGAATAATGTATATATCTTCACCATCAAAGTTATAGCCACATTGGAGATTTACACAAACACTACTTTCTGTTCGTAGATTTTGACTATCTGAGAGAGGTTTGTCAGGCAAAAAGTTTGGAGGGGAACCTGCTCAAAGTGTCCCTTGTTCCTGTTCCCAGTGTGGTGCTGGTGAAGAACTGTCCGGATGTATCAGAAGACACTATATTGCTGTTTTTTGAGAATGAGAAAAGGAGTGGTGGGGGTGATGTTGAGAAGGTAGAGCTCATCCTAGACCACCAGGAATGTCTCGTCCATTTTGTAGATCCTGCAGGTAAAATATACTAAATGCATCTTAATACATACTGTGTAGTGCTGATTGATGGTGAAGGGTATGGGTAATGGACAGATATGATAGTGCCAATTTATTTGAGAAAAAGAAATAATTGAAAAAAACAATATACCCAATGATTTCACAGCTGTTCCATCATGGTAAACTGAAAATTGTTTTATTGCCATAAAGTTAATCACAGTCTACAACCATCATGGTTTTTAATTGTCTTGGTTATGAAAGAGCTTGACACCAGTGACTGCATACAAGCTCCTATCCGATCCCACTAAAAATCACTGTTTATTTATGAATCAAATATTACATCAGCATATCCAATGGATGTACATTTGCTGTTGAAAATAAGGTATAATTGTTTGCCATTTCAAAGTGATACTAGCAAAAAGTATGGCAGCCCCCTTTATTTGATCTGGCAGCCTAAATCAGCACTGTACAGGGGTTAAATAGAGTATTATAATGTTAGTATTAGTCCACTTCTATCTAATTCTTGGATTTATCACAATATTATAATTGATATTAATGATTGGCTTTATATCTACACAGCCTCAGAGTCACAGTTATAGCTAGACCACACTGTCAACCTGGTAAAATGCTAGCTGATTCCTATTACCGTATTTTACCGCGAAAAAAGCCCCCCCCCCCCCTCGTGAGAAAAAAGATCGGCCAAAAGTTAGGAGGGGGCTTAATTGCGAGCAACCCCCCTGTTCAAAAATGTCCGCCATCTTGGATATATACCGCTGTTTTGATCTATGACCACACTTAATATCATGTACTTATCCACTGTAGTTGTTCAGCTCAGCTAGAAGAATTTCTCTTTAACCCATTTGGTAGAGCATGACAAGTAAACCAGAGGCCCTGGGTTTGACCTCTAGTGATGGAGGAATTGAAAAAATAATGACGTCTGTTACAATAGTTTTGGTCATATGACGACAGTCAAACTGATGTGAAAAGAATGGGGAATGGGACAGTTGTAAACTTGTAAATAATGTGAAAACGTTGAAAAAGTGCTAGAATATGAAAGTTGTTTTAAGACAAGTTTTCATTACATACATATATATTTAATGAGACAACTTATTATCTAGGATAGGACTAATAAAGGCCTTGTTGGAAATGAAAATGAGCTTTGATACAGAATTAAAAGTTAAAAACAAGTCTAATATTACTTTGATCATATGTCCACAAATAATGTAAAGTGACAAAATTTGTCAAACAGTACAGCAGGAAAGGAAACTCCTCGGTAGATGCTCCATTATATCAACTTACGATGTCTTCACATAGTCCCTTGAAATGTCATCCCCCCTTAGCTGCATTAGCATCATATAGCATGATAATGCTATGCTATGTAATTAAGTATAATAGATAGGTAACCCGTAATTGGTCTAAACTAAATGTTCACCTTTCTGTTCCTAACAGTGGCCAAGAGAGTTTGTGATCCTGAGCAAAAATTACAAATCGAGAAGAAAACTGTGACAGCAAGTTTATACTACCCATTTTTAAGATCAGCAGAGAGCAAATCTCTTGTCAAAGAAGCGTCGGGGGAGAAGCAAACTGGACAGTTACGAGTAGAAAATAAGCCTGTAAGACAACATTCCGATAAGAAATCTCCAGAACAGAGGCTTACTAGAGAGTTACCAAACCCACCGCTGGCTATCACAATGAAATTCCCAAGTCCAGTGACCTTAACAGATATTGAGCCACGTCTCACAGAGTTCATCATGACGTCTGATCCAAATAAGTCAGCATTCGAAAACATGATGTCAAAGGTCGAGGGAAAGGTCAGTTGGCCAAAGAATTTGGAAACAGATTTTATCAGGATCACTTGTGTGATAGATGTTACGTCAGAGAGAGCAGCCTTGGAGGTCAAACAATGGTCTGCAAAGATCTACAGAAACGTCAAAAAGTTTTTTGGTGCCATGACAACAGAAGAAGTCCCTGTAGTGAAGCAAGTTTGGGAATCCGTCATTTCAGAGTTGAAAAATATGAATATACCCTATCCTGATGGTGTTGCTGTGAGGCTCAATCAACAACATTATACGATTGTCATTTCTGGACATGCAAAATATGTAAAAGATTTGAAAAAGAATGTTGAAGAAATCACTACAAGGAATGAAAAAAGCCTCAGAAAAGAAGCAGAGCAAGTCTCCAAATCTGAGTTCCTTAAAATGTTCCAGATACAAATTTTATGGAAATTCAAATTCAAAAACAAAATAAAAAAACTTTACCCAAAACTGGAAATTGAGATTGATGTTGACAACAGGAAGATCTCCTTCAGCGGTGTTCTGGAGGAAGTAGATCAAGCCAGAATAGATATGAGACTTCAGTTGGAAACATCTGCCTGCGAAACTTTGGCCATATCACGAGGGATGAGGGACTTGTTCTTCAGAGTGCCAGCTAAAAATGAATTTGTTCAACTGCTGAAGCAGCGCCATCTTGTGGCCGTGTGGGACCTTCCTCCTCATCAGGACATTTGTAGGATGTATGCAGAAACCAGCCCAAAGGCAAAAGAAGCGGTCACTTTATTTACACAAGTGTTAAAAGAGAAGAAAATACCAATGGAAGATGATCTAGCAAAAGTTGTTGAATCTACAAAATGGCAGTCAACTTTGAAAGATCTTTTCTCCAAATATCCAGAAGAGATTCAAATAAATGTGGAGGAAAACAGTATCTTTGTGACAGCAGTCTGCAAGGTGTTTGATAAAATATGTGACTGTATTGACACCGAGATCAGAGATTACAAAGATATTCACGATGTCCACAAAGAATTTCTGCCAGTCGAGGAAGGGGTTTTTAGATTCTTAGAAAAATACAAACGATATGACATTGAAACTTGCACACTTGCAATACAGAAAACTTTAAAGTTGCAACTGAAAACACGAAACTCCAAGGTTAAGCCTGGATACGACTTGGAGGGTACAAGGGATGCATTACGACTAGCCAGAAATAAAATCAAGGCTGTCATAGACCAAGTCTCCATGGATACTCACATGGTTAAGGCAGTCGGTGCAGCAGACTACTTCAACTCTACAGATGGTCGGGACAAAATCGGTATGATTGAAAGTGCAGTATCAGCTATCATAAGGAAATCGGCAGAATACAGAGGAGTTCAGGAGGTCAGCGGTCAAAGTTCACAGCCAGTCATGAAAGCCAAGTGTCAAGTGGGCCAAAGCAAGCAGTGTATTGTTGTTGAGGGTGACATGACCTTGCTCAAAGTGGATGTAATGGTCAATGCTGCAAACACAGACATGATGCATGGAGGTGGAATAGCAGGAGCCATTTCAGCAGCAGGTGAGTGTACTTCACAAACATTTCCACAGGAGAAGAGGTGAGTGTACTACACAAACATTTCCACAGGAGAAGAGGTGAGTGTACTACACAGACATTTCCACAGGAGAAGAGGTGAGTGTACTACACAGACATTTCCACAGGAGAAGAGGTGAGTGTACTACACAGACATTTCCACAGGAGAAGAGGTGAGTGTACTACACAGACATTTCCACAGGAGAAGAGGTGAGTGTACTACACAGACATTTCCACAGGAGAAGAGGTGAGTGTACTACACAGACATTTCCACAGGAGAAGAGGTGAGTGTACTACACAGACATTTCCACAGGAGAAGAGGTGAGTGTACTACACAGACATTTCCACAGGAGAAGAGGTGAGTGTACTACACAGACATTTCCACAGGAGAAGAGGTGAGTGTACTACACAGACATTTCCACAGGAGAAGAGGTGAGTGTACTACACAGACATTTCCACAGGAGAAGAGGTGAGTGTACTACACAGACATTTCCACAGGAGAAGAGGTGAGTGTACTACACAGACATTTCCACAGGAGAAGAGGTGAGTGTACTACACAGACATTTCCACAGGAGAAGAGGTGAGTGTACTACACAGACATTTCCACAGGAGAAGAGGTGAGTGTACTACACAGACATTTCCACAGGAGAAGAGGTGAGTGTACTACACAGACATTTCCACAGGAGAAGAGGTGAGTGTACTACACAGACATTTCCACAGGAGAAGAGGTGAGTGTACTACACAGACATTTCCACAGGAGAAGAGGTGAGTGTACTACACAGACATTTCCACAGGAGAAGAGGTGAGTGTACTACACAGACATTTCCACAGGAGAAGAGGTGAGTGTACTACACAGACATTTCCACAGGAGAAGAGGTGAGTGTACTACACAGACATTTCCACAGGAGAAGAGGTGAGTGTACTACACAGACATTTCCACAGGAGAAGAGGTGAGTGTACTACACAGACATTTCCACAGGAGAAGAGGTGAGTGTACTACACAGACATTTCCACAGGAGAAGAGGTGAGTGTACTACACAGACATTTCCACAGGAGAAGAGGTGAGTGTACTACACAGACATTTCCACAGGAGAAGAGGTGAGTGTACTACACAGACATTTCCACAGGAGAAGAGGTGAGTGTACTACACAGACATTTCCACAGGAGAAGAGGTGAGTGTACTACACAGACATTTCCACAGGAGAAGAGGTGAGTGTACTACACAGACATTTCCACAGGAGAAGAGGTGAGTGTACAACACAAACATTTCCACAGGAGAAGAGGTGAGTGTACTACACAGACATTTCCACAGGGGAAAAGGTGAGTGTACTACACAAACATTTCCACAGGAGAAGAGGTGAGTGTACTACACAAACATTTCCACAGGAGAAGAGGTGAGTACAATATAATCATCAAGGTTAGATAAGCTCACTGAGTTTAGCACTAATGTTTTGAACATGCTTGTTATGTTCCTGACCTTTTTTTAGCTCACCTGCCCAAAGGGCAAGTGAGCTTATGCCATGGTGCGGCGTCCATCGTCCGTCGTCCGTCAACTTTTGCTACAAATCGCTACTTGTCATAAACAACTGAGCAGATTTTGACCAGAAGCATCCTTAGAGGAAGGGAACAAATTTTGTATAAAATGTGGGTCTGCCCTCCGAGTGGCCTGAGGGGCAGGGCCCAATGGGGAACACAAAGTAAATTCTTTAAAATCCTTCTACTTCTGTAGGAATGAAAGGATTTGTTTCATATTAAGTCTGAAGCATCCTTGAGTGAGGGGCCTGAGGGGCGTGGCCCAATAGGGGAAACATAGCAAATTCTTTAAAATCCTTCTTCTTCTGTAGGAATGAAAGGATTTGTTCCATTTTTGGTCTGAAGCATCCTTGAGTGAAGGGGAACCAATTCTGTATAAACTGTGGGTCTGGCCCCCGAGTTGCCTGAGGGGCAGGGCCCAATGGGGAACACAAAGTAAATTCTTTAAAATCTTTCTTCTTCTGTAGGAATGAAAGGATTTGTTCCATATTAAGTCTGAAGCATCCTTGAGTGAGGGGCCTGAGGGGCGTGGCCCAATAGGGGAAACATAGCAAATTCTTTAAAATCCTTCTTCTTCTGTAGGAATGAAAGGATTTGTTCCATTTTTGGTCTGAAGCATCCTTGAGTGAAGGGGAACCAATTCTGTATAAACTGTGGGTCTGGCCCCCGAGTTGCCTGAGGGGCAGGGCCCAATGGGGAACACAAAGTAAATTCTTTAAAATCTTTCTTCTTCTGTAGGAATGAAAGGATTTGTTCCATATTAAGTCTGAAGCATCCTTGAGTGAGGGGCCTGAGGGGCGTGGCCCAATAGGGGAAACATAGCAAATTCTTTAAAATCCTTCTTCTTCTGTAGGAATGAAAGGATTTGTTCCATTTTTGGTCTGAAGCATCCTTGAGTGAAGGGGAACCAATTCTGTATAAACTGTGGGTCTGGCCCCCGAGTTGCCTGAGGGGCAGGGCCCAATGGGGAACACAAAGTAAATTCTTTAAAATCTTTCTTCTTCTGTAGGAATGAAAGGATTTGTTCCATATTAAGTCTGAAGCATCCTTGAGTGAGGGGCCTGAGGGGCGGGACCCAATAGGGGAAATAAAGCAAATTCTTTAAAATCCTTCTCCTTCTGTAGGAATGAAAGGATTTGTTCCATTTTTGGTCTGAAGCATCCTTGAGTGAAGGCCTAGGGGAACCAATTTTGTATAAACTGTGGGTCTGGCCCCCGAGTTGCCCGAGGGGCAGGGCCCAATGGGGAACACAAAGTAAATTCTTTAAAATACTTCTTCTTCTGTAGGAATGAAAGAATTTATTCCATATTTAGTCTGAAGCATCCTTGAGTGAGGGGCCTGATAGACGGGGCCCAATAGGGGAAACATAGCAAATTCTTTAAAATCCTTCTTCTTCTGTAGGAATGAAAAGATTTGTTCCATATTTGATCTGAAGCATCCTTGAGTGAAGGGGAACCAATTTTGTATAAAATGTGGGTCTGCCCTCCGAGGGGCCTGAGGGGCAGGGCCCAATGGGGAACACAAAGTAAATTCTTTAAAATCTTTCTTCTTCTGTAGGAATGAAATGATTTGTTCCATTTTTTTGTCTGAAGCATCCTTGAGTAAGGGGAACCAATTTTGTATAAAATGTGAGTCTGCCCTCCGAGGGGCCTGAGGGGCAGGGCACAATGGGGAACACAAAGTAAATTCTTTAAAATCCTTCTGCTTCTGTAGGAATGAAAGGATTTGTTCCATTTTTTTGTCTGAAGCATCCTTGAGTAAGGGGAACCAATTTTGTATAAAATGTGGTTCTGCCCTCCGAGGGGCCTGAGGGGCAGGGCACAATGGGGAACACAAAGTAAATTCTTTAAAATCTTTCTTCTTCTGTAGGAATGAAAGAATTTATTCCATATTTAGTCTGAAGCATCCTTGAGTGAGGGGCCTGAGGGGCGGGGCCCAATAGGGGAAATATAGCGAATTCTTGAAAATCCTTCTTCTTCTGTAGGAATGAAAGGATTTGTTCCATTTTTTTGTCTGAAGCATCCTTGAGTGAAGGGGAACCAATTTTGTATAAACCGTGGTTCCTGGCCCCCGAGGGGCCTGAGAGGCAGGGCCAGAAGGGGGCAATTGGGCTATATTGATTTAAGCAACTTCTTCTCTGGAACTTAGAGATGGATATCAATCATATTTGACTGGAAGCATCCCTCGGTATTGGAGATTCAAAATTGTACAAATGGTTTGGCCGACCCCCCCAGGGGGCTGAGGGGCGGGGCAAAAAGGGGCAGTATGGCTATATTGCTACAAACGACTTCTTTTGTAGAACTATGCACCGGATATCAACCATATTGACTGGAAACATCCATAGGTGGTGAGGAATCAAAATTGTACAAATGGTGGGGCTGAGGGCGGGGCCAAAAGGGGGCAATTTGGCTATATTGCTATAAACGACTTCTTCTGTAGAACTATGCCATGGATATCGATCCTATTTGGTTGGAAGCATTCATTGGAGGCAGGGGTGGGGCCAAAAATAGTTTATTTCTTGGAAATGGTTGATATCGCCACCCCAAACTACATATACAAATGCTGGGCATAAAGAGACGAATGCAGTCATGATATTAGAATAGACCCTGGGGTCTGACCGAACCCCTAGGGACCTAGTTTCTTAGTCACAGCTTGGAAACAGTTGAGATCCCCACCCTATAACCATATATACAATTGAGGAGTATAAAGAGATGAATGCATATATGCTTCCAGGATGGCCTTGGACACTGCTGCACCCTTGGAGACTTAACTCTAGGGTCATAACTTTGAAATGGTTAAGATCCCTACCCCAAAACTATATATACAATTGTTGGGCATAAAGAGACGAACGCAGTCATGATATTAGAATTGACCCTAGGGTCTGCCCGTCCCTTGGAGACATAGTCCCTGGGCCATAACTTTAAAACGGTTGAGATCCCCACCCCAAAACTATATATAGAAATGCTTAGCATAAAGAGATGAATGCAGTCATGATATTAGAATAGACCTTGGGGTCTGACTGAACTCCTAGGGACCTAGTTTCTTAGTCACAGCTTGGAAACAGTGGAGATCCCCACCCTATAACCATATATACAATTGCGGAGTATAAAGAGATGAATGCACATATGCTTCCAGGATGGCCATTGGGACAGCCCCACCCTTGCGAACTTAACCCCTGGGTCATAACTTTGAAACGGTTGAGGTCCCCACCCCAAAACTATATATACAATTGTTGGGCATAAAGAGACTAATGCATACATGATATTAGAATGGATCCCAGGGTCTGCCCCACCTTTGCAGACTTAACCCCTGGGTCATAACTTTGAAACGGTTGAGATCCCCATCCCAAAACTATAAATACAAATGCTGGGTAAAAAGAGACGAATGCAGTCATGATATTAGAATTGATCCTGGGGTCTGGCCACAACCTATGGACCTAAATTGCTGGAAATGAAAAATCTAATACAGACATACTACAAGAATTGCCATAGGGGTCTGGCATATTCCCTTGGATCTCATTTGGAGAATATTTTGCCATGATTGCTCAGATATGCAGGTGAGCAAACAGGCCCTCTGGGCCTAATGTTTCCATTGAACTTGAAAAAAAATTAGTTCACCTATATATTATATCCTAATTAACTTTAATTATTTAACAACAATTCTGAAACAAGTTGTATATCTATTAATTGCTCTTATTGGCCTGGATGTTAGCCTGAAGGGGGTTTTAAGTAAAAGGAAACCGGGGTACCCAGAGAAAACCCACCTGATTAGGCAGACAACCATATACCTTTTCACCCCGGCTGTCTTGGTGCTATCCAGTCTGCTACCCGACCATGTTGTTAAATTACTATTATATTTTATGCCGTAATCATCCTGATAATTACCTATCTGTTATAAGCACCCCCTTTTTATCTGGTGTTTCATACTTTCATCATAATTGAGTACCATTTAAATAATGTCTGTTATGGCTATTTTGGGGGAGATTCTGCACTCATTCTGATTTACCATATTTGCAAAGTGCCCAGGGTGTTTAGTAGGGTAAATACAGGAAAGGATTTTGTTATTGTGTTTATATATAGCAATTTCTTGTACAGTTTCTAAATGACTCATTCAGTAGCTATATATGAGATGGGAATATGTTACTATTCAGTTCCTGTTAAAATGTACAGTTTTTAACAGTATCCTTTGAATTTATTGGGTGAAAAAACCCTCAACAAAATACTGAAGAAGCATGCACATCTGAAGTGACATACATACTCACCAATCAGAACATCCATACTAGGGTATCGATTATCGTATTTCAGGAGGTTCTGTTATCCAGAAGGAATGTGATGACTATGTGACGAAACATGGTCCAGTACCAGAAGGGAAGGCCATCTGTAGCAGTTCAGGAAGGCTACCCTGTAAGATGGTTGTGCATACTGTTGGCCCGATCTGGCAAGATGGATCACATGGAGAAGAAAAAAAACTGCAAGAGGCAGTTTATAGAAGCTTGGAAATAGTACATGAACAAGGTTACTCATCCGTCGCCTTGCCTGCAATCAGTGCTGGAATCTTTGGTTACCCCCTCCCTAAATCTGTGGAGACCATCGTCTCTATGGTCCAACACTTCGTCTTCAAGCGACCAACCACTCGGATCAAACATGTTTACCTTTGTGACACTGACCACCAGACAGTGAAACTTTTTGTCAAGGAACTGGTGTCTACATACGGTCCACAGAAGGTCAAGACCTACGATGGCACCGGTTCTTCTTCTTCAGGTATGTAACACCCACTCACTGAAAATGGGACCTTCTGAAACTTTATCAGGAATTTTCAATAAAAAGTTTTTTTCTGGTTGAAAATTAACTGAAACTTATGGGTTTTTCAATATAAAAATGAGATTTTTTTTTAAGAATGAAAAGTTAGAATAAATACAAACCTACCTAACTACCTACACACTGGAAAAAATGTGAGTAGGAAAATTGCAAACAAACACATTTTTAAGGATGGCCTTAGTAGTGATTACCTGGAATCTAATAGGAAGAAAGCAAATCCTGCGATATTATTCTATTATGATTTGATCTCATTTATTTGTTAATGTTTCTAAGATTTGCTATAGGTAGCAGCTAGAGTTTGTTTGTTTCTTTGTTTATGTTTTATGGCCCATCGACGGCTGTGGTCATTTAGGGCCATGGTGATTTTTTTTTGATTTTTTTTTAACAAACATGTGAGTAGCGAAGATAAAATCAGATAAAATGGTTCATTTTAAAAGCATTTACATTGTATGTGTAGATAATTAAAAATAAAAAAGGGGTTAGCAACTAGAGTACAGTAGAAATGGCTTTACCCTAAAAATAAAGGGCATGTCTCGGATAAACAAGGATAGCAGATTCATCCTGCACAGCACACCTACATATATATATATATTAATAAAATACATTTTGAATTCGTTTTTTCTTAGAAGAATGAATATTTTTTCAAAAAGTGATTTCCCTAGATTTGGGACTTTTGAAAACTCAAATTTGACCCACGCAAGTAGTATTTTTTTTCTTAAAACCTGTCTTAAATTAAGTATCACCTACTCGGTCACTGATAATCACGTTTTAGCATAGGTCGTCAAACTGGATTTTTCACAATATTTACACATGTGCTGAGTATAAAAATAGACTACATGAAAAGCTAGCTTTTGTTGTGTAGACACAGATTCTTAAATGGCCAAAAATGTAGTCTCAAGCCAAATTCATTTTTTTTTTCTTTTTTTAAATGTGAAACCCACATAGTCCAATTTATCATGTATATGCCAATTTTAAAGCTGATTTTTTTTTTTACTTTTGATACATGTAATATTACAGGGGTTATTTATTGTACAAAAATATCACCATGGCCACCGTACGCTACTGTACACTGCTACCATAACACAGGTTCTGATATATTTAACAAGACTGAGAAGATCGATCTATGAAAGAATTCCCCTTTATTGTAAACGTAAACAAGAGTACCATGTTTGACTGGTCTCGGATGAGTGAGGGTACACAGGTGCATGTACATGGCATTCTTTCTGTGTGCATCTACTTTAAACTGAAAGAATAGGACCACTGGTGGCTGCGACATCCGAAAAGCATGGCAATAGATTAACATATGATGGACACGATTATCTAGGCCATGTTGCCCTATTGTCTCTGAGGTAGACATGAAGGACATTCCATAACATTTTGATATGGCAGAATAGACCTATAAAATAAAATGCATTTTGAAATTCCAGAAAGGATGTCATGCTGAAACTCCATCCAAATCTACCTGGTTTTACTTTCAGGTTAGGGGAGATCACCCTGATTATATTTTCAGGTTAGGGGAGATCACCCTGATTATATTTTCAGGTTAGGGGAGATCACCCTGATTTGTATTCTTTGAACTTAACATGTCTTCATGTTCATTATAAGGTTCCTTATTTTGTATGAAAAAAAAATATCATCTCCACTTTGTAGATGAGGATGCTTCTGATGAGGAGATTTCTGAGGAGGACGACGAAGAAGAAGAGGACACTGATGATGAAGCTAAAGATGTACGAAGAACCTCCTCTCATAGAAAAATAACTGTAGAAGTCCTGCGGGGAGAATTAGCAAAAACTAAGGTACATTGTACATGACTTAAATGATTTGAACTCGGTCATTTCAGCACTGTATTACGATACTGAACTGTCCATTCATCTGTCTGCCCTGAATATTTTGTCTGGTCCATAAGTTTCTATCGGCTGTCAACTATTTTATTTCATTTATAAGTGTCTTAATTACATTTTACCAGAGAAATAAAGGAAATCATCAGTGTATTGGTACAAGTGATGTAGCTACCACAATGAATACCTGGTATATAATAAATACTCTATCTTTTTCACAATTTTGCATTCAAATAAATAGAAAACTCATTTGTTTCCCGGTGACTCTCATCATATAAAAAAAATATTCTAACTTTATGGGTTATATTTTAACTTGTGGTTTGATCTTATGAAAAATAGTCTACTGCACTTATTCCTTGGCAAACTGTTGAATATCCTGTATTAATATTCATTGCTATAAATGAAATACTATAAATTAAATAGAGTCCCCTGTCTGGATTTTTCAGGCTGATGTATTAGTCAACTCCACTGGTAAGGACCTGATGTTGAATGTTGGGATGCTGTCTAAGACACTGCTACAGTACGGGGGACAGTCCCTTCAAACAGAGTGTACAAGCAGTTACCCCAGGGGAATACAACCTGGGGATGTTGCTATAACAAAAGGTGGAAATCTTCAGTGTCAACAGGTGTATCATGGAACATTTGACAGCTGGGGAAATGAACAGAGGGGCTGTGTAAAAGTAAGTGTAAGGGTGAACAGAGGGGCTGTGTACAAGAAAGTGTGAGGGTGAACAGAGGGGCTGTGTAAAGGTAAGTGTGAGGGTGAACATAGGGGCTGTGGACAGGTAAGTGTGAGGGTAAACAGAGGGGCTGTGTACAGGTAAGTGTGAGGGTGAACATAGGGGCTGTGTACAGGTAAATGTGAGGGTGAACAGAGGGATGTGTACAAGTTAGTGTGAGGGTGAACAGAGGGGCTGTGTACAGGTAAGTGTGAGGGTGAACAGAGAGGCTGTGTACAAGAAAGTGTGAGGGTGAACAGAGGGGCTGTGTACAGGTAAGTGTGAGGGAGAACATAGGGGCTGTGTACAGGTAAATGTGAGGGTGAACAGAGGAATGTGTACAAGTTAGTGTGAGGGTGAACAGAGGGGCTGTGTACAGGTAAGTGTGAGGGTGAATAGAGGGGCTGTGTACAGGTTAGTGTGAGGGTGAACAGAGAGGCTGTGTAAAAGTAAGTGTGAGGGTGAACAGAGGGGCTGTGTACAAGTAAGTGTGAGGGTGAACAGAGAGGCTGTGTACAGGTAAGTGTGAGGGTGAACATAGGGGCTGTGTACAGGTAAGTGTGAGGGTGAATAGAGAGGCTGTGTACAAGTAAGTGTGAGGATGAACATAGGGGCTGTGTACAGGTTGGTATGAGGGTGAACAGAGAGGCTGTATAAAAGAAAGTGTAAGGGTGAACAGAGGGGCTGTGTACAGGTAAGTGTGAGGGTAAAGAGAGGCTGTGTACAGGTAAGTGTGAGGGTGAATAGAGGGGCTGTGTAAAAGTAAGTGTGAGGGTGAACAGAGGGGCTGTGTACAGGTAAGTGTGAGGGTGAACAGAGGGGCTATGTACAGGTAAGTGTGAGGATGAACATAGGGGCTGTGTACAGGTAAGTGCTATGGTCCTATGATTGGTTTACAAAACAGTTTCTACAAAATACAAACTTAGTTTTAGGTTCAAAATGAACTATGATCTTATGTTTGGTACAAACTTCCTAGATGGTGACAGGCTAGCACATTCTTTATATATTTACCCCTCTTTTTCTACAGAGTATGTGATCAGCTACAGCCACTAGATTAACAAAATGTCAAGTACTTACACAATATTCTACTTGATATTAGAATGGAAGGCATTATACACATTTTCATTTGAATACTTAATTATAACACAGAAGGATAGGTTGTAATACACACTTACAAGTCTCTACCATTAAATGAATAAGATAGATTTCCACACAATAAATCGTAAAATGAGTGTTAAATCTTTGTTGCAGTAATATTGTTTTGAATGCCCCTTTTTCTGTTCATTTGTTTTGCACCATGTTATTGGTACAATGTTATTTCAGGCTTATAACCATGTACATACATGAAAACTATTGCTTATTTTGTTTATTTTTCTGAAAGATTATTCATGTTTACTGTTGATAATTTAATGTTTAAATATTGCTGTTTTAAGACTGACTTTGACATATTTGGAAATGTATTACAATTTGACGTATGCTGTCCTGTTCTTTTTCAGACTTTGGAAAAATTTGTCAGTACATGTCTACATACTGCTAACAAATGCAGAATGGCTTCTATAGCATTCCCCGCTCTTGGCACCGGTCGCCTTAGCTACCCACCAGCCACTGTAGCCAATGTGATGTTGTCCTGTGTGAGGGGGTTTGAAAGGGACATGCCAAATTCCTGTTTAAGGACTGTGATGTTTGTGATATATCCCCAGGATAGGCAGTCAGTACAGGTAGGTCATTACAGACAGTCAGTACAGGTAGGTAGTTACAGACAGTCAGTACAGGTAGGTCATTACAGGCAGTCAGTACAGGTAGGTCATTACAGACAGTCTATAGAGGTAGGTCATTACAAACAGTCCATAGAGGTAGGTCATTACAGACAGTCCATAGAGGTAGGTCATTACAGACAGTCAGTACAGGTAGGTCATTACAAACAGTCCATAGAGGTAGGTCATTACAGATAGTCAGTAGGTCATTACAGACAGTCAGTACAGGTAGATCATTACAGATAGTCCATAGAGGTAGGTCATTACAGACAGTCAGTACAGGTAGATCATTACAGACAGTCCATAGAGGTAGGTCATTACAGACAGTCAGAACAGGTAGATCATTACAGACAGTCCATAGAGGTAGGTCATTACAGACAGTCAGTACAGGTAGGTCATTACAGACAGTCAGTACAGATAGGTCATTATAGACAGTCGTACAGGTAGGTCATTACAAGTTTCAAGTTTTATTCATTCACTCTGAGACACTTACGTGTGTAACAAGAGGTCACATACATATAGTAAATATGATACATGGCCTGTGATGATTAGTACAATATTACAACATTTTCTGCAAATAATGATAATTGCCTATAGCATAGTAACATAGAGAAGGAGCACAACCTTGTACACAAATTAAGTTTATATTTTTTCAAGCTTTTCTAGGAATCTACAAACTTTTGTGTAAATTTTTACATTAAATATGTTCAACAATCCTTGCATTTTTTTTTTTTTACTTGGATAAGTAAAATAATATTTTGGTATATATTTCTCTCTTAGACATTTAACTGAATCACTTTCACATTTAAATAAGTAATGAAATTCATCTCCAATGTCAGAATTACATAATGCACAGGTTTTTTCTTGAGGAGGAAAACCTAACCATCTTCCTTTTTCTATGGGTAAATGCATATTGCAAGAACGAAATTCACACATGATTTTCCTATCATTTGTATTAAGCTTAATTGAATATTTTTCTTGTTCAAACTTAGTCTTAAATATTGAATATATTTGTCCTCTAGAGGAGTTAAGAATATCATCAAACCATTTCTGTATAAATTGATCCTTTAGTCTACTTTTCACCAGGCTCTTAATTTCTTGAAAAGGAACATGTAGATTGATAGTACCACACATAGTTCAGGCCAGTTTGGGTTAAATATCTTTTACATATGTGCGCCATTTAATTGACATAGTTCCATTTTCTTGTAATGTATACATTAGCTTATGAATAGTACTTGATAACTTACTAGAGGTAATCAACTTATGCCAGAATACTATTATTCTACATTTAATTTGTATGTCTAGTGGGTAATTTTTCTTCTAAGCTCACAATAAAATGAAATTGGGTGTACTTTTTCTTACATTTAGTCCGTCCGTCCATCCTGCGTCTGTCCGGCAACTTTTCCTTTAAAACGCTACTTGTCCTGAACAGCCAAGGGGACTCAATTTTGTATAAACAGTGAGTGTGGCCCCCCTGGGGGCTGAGGGGTGGGACCCAATAGGGGAAATATAGCAAATTCTTTAAAATCCTTCTTCTGAAGGAATTGAAGAATTTGTTACATATTTGGTCAGAAGCATGCTGGGGGAAGGGGAACAAATTTTGTATAAATGGTGGAATGGTGGGTCTGGCTCCCCTGGGGGTCTGAGGAGCGGGGCCCAATAGGGGAAATGTAGCAAATTCTTTAAAATCCTTCTTCTTCTGTAGGAATGAAAGGTTTTGTTCCATATTTGGTCTGAAGCATCCTTGAGGGAAGGGGAACAAATTTTGTATGAATGGTGGATCTGGCCCCCCTGGGGGCTGAGGGGCAGGGCCCAATAGGGAAAATATAGCAAATTCTTTAAAATCCTTCTTCTTCTGCAGGAATGAAAGGATTTGTTCCATATTTGGTCTGAAGCATCCTTGGGTGAAGGGGAACCAATTTTGTATAAACGGTGTATATAACCCCCCCCCCCTGGAGGCAGAGAGGCGTGGCGCAATAGAGGAAATAGAGGTTAAACTTTTAAAATCCTTCTTCTACCATAGGGATTAAGGGATTTTATCCTAATTTAGTCTGGAGCATCCTTGGACCAAGGGGACTCAATTTTGTATAAGCAGTGTGTGTGGTCTCCCAGGAGGAAGAAGGGCGGGGCCCAATAGGAGAAATAGAGGTAAAACCTTTAAAATCCTTCTTCGACCATTGGGATTAAGGGATTTTATCCTTATTTAGTCTGGAGCATCCTTGGGCCAAGGGGACTCAATTTTGTATAAACGGTGGGTATGACCCCCCTAGGGGCATAGGGGTGGGGCTCTGTTTGAAACTTGTTCCCGCTATATCTCAAGTACTTGATGGATCTTTCTGAAATTTCATATGTACTTACAGCACCTACCATGCATGGTGCTATATCTTTACTTCATACCAATTATTTCAAACATATTCAGGTGAGCGATACAGGCCCTCTGGGCCTCTTGTTTTCCTTGCTTTAAAGAAGCTACAATTAAAAATAAAGAATAATCCTAGATAGGTATACCTTTCCAGTATTTCTAATTCTACGTTACATAATGTAAAATGGGGAGTTCTTGCACGTTTTCTTTTTGAAAAGATGACAACTTTAGTTTTTCTTGAATTAATAGTTAACTATTAACTATTTAATAGTACAGTATTGTTCAAATGCATTTAAAGCTAATTGTAAACCATCTGGTGTTTCTGAAAACAGGACAGTATCATCTGCATATAAGATAGTGAACAGTTTGAGATACACTTCAATGTTGTCAATCCACAATTTGTCTATTGTTTGAAGACATTTTACATTTTTTTCAACAAGATAATTCTAAATCATTTAAATAAATTGCAAACAAAAATGGCGATAAATGTTCGCCCTGTTTTAAACCAATCTCACAATTGAACAAATCCGACTGTTTAAATCCATTTTTAACACATGATTTGGTTTTATCATATAACGTAAAAATAACATTGAACATTTTTCCATTAATGTTGCTTTCTAGGAGCTTTTTCTACAGACCAAATCTGATCGCTCTATAATTATCCGGATCTTTGGGATCGCCTTTGTTTTTATATACTGTCTTTACAATAGCAGTCTTCCACGTATCTGGTATAGATGCAGTATTCAAAATAAGGTTAAATATTTTCTGATAAATAGGTAAAAAAACATCCATTGTACTTTTTATGCCCCCGCCATAAAATGGGGGGGCATATAGTGTTACCCATGTCCGTCCCGTCCCGATTCAATGTATTCACTTAGCAACTTCATTCTTTGACAGATTTTGGTCAAACTTTATACAAAGGTCAAGTATGAGTATACTTCGGACATCTTTGTATTTCAGGGATCCAAGGTCAAGGTCACACTTGCTATATATAGAAAATCATCAACTGATTCAATCTCAACACTTATCAACTTCATTCTTTCATGGATTTTGGTCAAATTTTATGCAAAGGTCAAGTATGAGTATACTTCGGACATTGTTGTGTTTCAGGGTTCCAAGGACAAGGCCAAAGTCACTGTTGCTATATATAGAAAATAATCTACTGATTCAATTTAAACACTTAGCAGCTTCATTCAATATGTTATTGAGATGGTAATAACATACAGAAAAAAAACATATGAATATTAAAATCAACTTTAAGTATAGTACCTTGTGTGTGTGCATGTTTCAGGGTATCAAGATCAAAGTGGTTGTAACTTTTTATAGAACACTGAAACTAATTTCACATGGCAGCGGGGGCATTTATGTCTTACAGACATTTTCTAGTTAGATATTCATTTAGGATTTGATCTATACCAGAGGCTTTAATATTTTTCAAATTGATTAAAGAAAATTTAATTTCATCAGCAGTAATTTCACCATTCAGATAATCATCAAAAATACAATCATCAGGATTTTCCAGCTGAAAATCATCATCATGAACAGACTTGTTCAGATCCTTAAAGTATTCATATAATTCAGTGATACATATATCAGCATTACCTTTCTTTACAGACCCGTCACATTTGTTCAAAATATTCCAGAATTGTTTTGAATCCATTCTAGCAGTATATCTTAATTCGTTCGACAATTTCTCCTGATAATTTCTGTAACTTTTATTCAATGTTTTTCTACAAACTTTATTAGCTCTATTGAAATTAGTTTTATTTATAGAATTATTTACTTTTTGAAATATGGCCTTGGGTATATTAAATTCAACTCTGTTTAAGTGACATTCATTTGAATATTAACAAGCTATATATCCTATTTGAGCAGGCACCTGGTGGTTACTGTTTCCAGTAGTCTCGTTTTGAAACAAATTTTAAGGGTCTATTTTAATATACATTTTAATTATACACTTTTGGAATTAATACTTATTATGCATGACATTTGGCATCCAAATGTATTCAGTAAAATTATTCTTATTATATGTGGAACACTTTTAATTTTACTTTTGATTTGATGACAGATATAAAAATGTCCCTAAAATTGTTTTTTTCTCTCAAAAACTGTCAATTATTTAATAAGGCTACTAGGCTAGAGAAAACCACAAATATAATAAGGGAGAAAAAATACATCATGTTAGTTATATGAATCGTTGTTTTGAGACCTTTGATGAAAATCTCTGATTAACTAATGTTCAAACAAGTTCAATACAAATGTCCACAGCACAAAGAGATTTTAAAAGAAGTATAAAGAAGTTAGCATGGTGACCTTCTTTGATGGTTGTCTTTCATTTAACATTTTCAGGATTTTGAAACTGCAGTTGATAAAGACAGTTTGAGACCTGGAGGTAAGAAAAGTTAACAAGTTTAAATTTGGAGGTCAATAAAGTTAATCTGAGAGTAATCAAAAATTAAATTTTTAATCATGACTTAAGGGAAACGGCTTTGCCTAGATGAGATGATCAGGGGGAGGGGGATTGTTTAGATGAGATGATCAGGGGGAGGGGGATTGTTTAGATGAGATGATCAGG